ACTGTATGCCTGTGCTTGTGTCTCGCAAAAAAACAGTACCCACTGTCAGACTTAAATTACTGTACTGATTCTGTAGCAAGTGCAACAGTACCACCCTGATATGTACTATATATTAAATAAGCAAATTAAAGTGTCTATGCGCCCTGTCCTGTCCAGGTTGTATTCTGTATTCCTGGGATCGGCTGTAGCTGAATTGAATGAAGTGCTTGGAAAATGGATGGATGGAAAGATCTTTCCTTTACACTTTGAAGTTTAACTATATATTGTTTAAAAAAAAACATAATGACTAGTATTTAATATAATTTATTGTTTTTGGTGTTTTCAGTTCTGCTTACTATTATGGGATTGGAAAGTTTTGGCATGTGGCACCATTCTAAAAAAACTATTGCATTATAATTATTTAATATAATTATTACAGAGACATCTATGTTATAACTAATTGAAAGATGCATTTATGAAGAGACTTTAGTGCTGAGTTTTTGATTTATTAAATTGCAGGTTTATTAGTATGTTAAAATATTACAGTACCTGTTGGGTCGAACTGTCATAGATTCAACATTTCAAGAACAGTTCTAGCTAATTTTTCTTGCTCAATAAGAGAGAAAAAAAAATAACATTAAATGAATAAATGGTTTTGGATTAAGATTGAAATCAGGAGGTTATACACAATGTTATAAATATCAGTTTCACAGGAGCTTCATACACATGTAAGTTCTAGTTTAAAAAGTGTAAACTAATAAAAATGATTAATTTGTTTTTCAGTCTACTTTGTATTAGTAGGAATTCATATACAGTACCTCACCAAAAATAACTAAGAATTAATATTCTTACACTTAATTTAGCCAGCGGCTATATCACCCTGTAGCTCTCAGCTGGCTACCCACTGAAGCTCAGCAGGTGTGAGCCTGGTCAGTACCTGGATGGGAGGACTCTTGGGAAGCTATGGTTGCTGCTGGAAAAGGTGTTAGTGGGACCAGTGGGGGGCGCCCACCCTGCTGTCTGTGTGGGTCCTAATGCCCCAGTATAGTGGAGGGGACACTATACTGTAGTGGGCGCCGTCTTTCAGATGAGATGTTAAACCGAGGATTAAAGATCCCCGGGCATTTCTCGATAAGAGCAGGAAGTTATCCTGGTGTCCAGGTCACATTTCTCCTCTCAGCCTTAACCATGGCCTTCCTCATTGTCCATGTGTATGAGTGGCTTGCACTGGCCCTGCGATGGACTGGCACCCTGTCCAGAGTGTACCATGCCTTGCGCTCTTTGCTTGCTGGGTAGGCACTGGCTCAAGACACCATATGGTATTAAGTGGTTTGGTAAATGACATGACATGACATTTAATTTAAATACATTATTTAATATCTCTCAATTATTTATTAGGACATTCTTTTAATGAGATCTTAGTTTTCCTAGGATATCTTCAAACAATAAATATTAATGTAAACTTCATTACAGAGAATGAAATCTTTAAAATAATTTTAAGAATTAAAATATTTCTTAAAAAATGAAGCTTCATGCTCATTGTAGTATGTTTTGTCAATAAATGAAGTTTGTAGAAGCTTGTATACACAAGGAATCATAGCCAATCACAGTAAAGTGATATTTTAACTTCATTCAATAATTTTTTCCTTTGACAGCCTTGCATTTTTTGACTTTATTGTTTTTATGCTAATGAGAGATTAGGTCCCCATTAATATTTGCCTCATTAATTTAGTCCTCTTGTGTCTGAACATACCATTACCTGATATGATGCTTTGCATGAGAAAAGCGTGATGTGATTTACATGTAGAGATGGAAAGGATCTATTGAAACTGAAAGCTATTTTATTAAAGAACAATCAGTCATGAAAATAAGACAGGTCTGGGTACAACGGTTCGTAACAAGTAGTGATGAAGAGTTGAACAGTAGCCATAGATGTGTTTTTGACAATATAATAATTGTTACTTTATCTTAGTGGATAACGTTGAATTTTTATAATCTGTGAAGCAGGAAAATAAAGGTTTTAATGTTCTTCGTTACAGACTGTAATTTAAGAAAGAAAATAGAGGTTTTCTAAGTTTAGTTTCATTGTCCTTCTTAAACAAAACCCTAACATGGAAATTGCCATGAAGTGTTTTCCTGCAGTACTAAAACTCTTTTTTAGTGTTTTGTATTCAAGGCACGTGTCTCTTCACTGGTATTCTTGCTGTCCAGGGCTTCCTTTTACAGTATTGATTCAAGGCCTCGGTATCTTGTCTGGATTAAATCCGGGATATATATATATACTGTATTCCTTGGTTTACACCTCAGGATTGTCACTTAGAAATTGTCCAGCAAAGAGCCCTCTTAAAGCTTTTTTTCAGCTCTTAACAATTGGGACATAATCAATCTGATGTACAGACCTGAGTGCCTGTGCTGGAAGGCTTATTTCTTAATACTTTCTTTCTCTGCCCAACTCCCTTTCATCCTCTTATTACTTAATATTGGATGGTACCCTGGTTTGGTACTCGGCTTTGAAAGACTACCAATAAATGTAATTATGCACAAGAGCTCCAGCCGGACTTTATTGTGATTTTTATTTTATTTTGCAGGTATGACAACAGAAAGCTGTTCAGATTACACTTTAATTGCATTCCAAGCACATCAAACAAGGGCTTGATAAAGTATAATTAGGTTTCCTCCTCTGCAGTAGAACTTGTTTTATCTTCTACTGAAATACTAGTGAGGATTATACTGAACCTAATTTTTCCCAGCAAAAAGTTGAAACTTGAAACTAATGTTTTTACTCTGCCAGTACTGCCCTTTTTTGAATTCTTACAATACACCATAAGATATATATTATTTCCATTGTTCTTAACAATTTCATAATTTATAATTATCACAATAGAAATTCAACATTCAACAACAATGGTGCCTGTGGTATGTATATTTTAATGTTGAACCCCTTCTATATGCACATATTATAGTTCTCCACATCATAGGGTATTGGAGTCAATAAATATGTGCAGAAATGCTATTTCTCTACAGTATATAAATGTGTATAGATATGTAGTATATGGATATTTTCATCTCTTTGATCAACACCTACTGTAGCTTAATGGTAAGAATGTAAAGCAACACGATTGTCTTTTGCTGTTATGATACGGTATTTATAGATTCGTGTTTATTACTTTGTTTCCTACATCTAATATTGCTAATATTGCTAATATTGCTCGCCAAATACCTGACATATTGAAGAGCCAATTTTAAGCACGTGTAAAGCCCCACTAAACTATAAACTTTCTACATTGACATGCAAAGGCTCCTTAAAATCACTAAATTGTGCAACTTTTGCAAGCCAAGCTCCATTATAAATGTGTGTTGTGCGATACACTGGTACTCTTTGCATGTTACTTGTGTCTAGTGGCATGGCTCTTATTGATGGTTTCAGGGAACTGAATGACTTTTCAGGAGACTTACAGTTTCCTATAGTGTGAAAGCTTTATTAATGAGATAATCAAATTTCAGTTTGTTATCCCTTTTCCTTAGCTCATTTTCAACCTTAGCAATCAGCCATTTTGTAATTATTCAGTGTGGAAAAACAATTGGCAAATATGTATTTTTATTGCTAACAGAGATTAAGTACTCACATGTCATATACTGTATTACTAGGATTTTTTATTCTTTCAATATTACTGCATTGATCACACCTCTGAATATGGATCATGTTCACAGTCCAGCAGGTGTCCAGATAGCCCTTTCTTAATTGCGGACGTGACATTTTATTCATACCATCTTATTGAACCATTTGTTTTTTACTGAGGGAGATGGCACACTGCTGTGTTCTCGCCCATCTCCGGAGTGCAGTGTGCTCCTTAATGTTAAAGCCCTGAATATAATGATCTGACAAGCAAAAACAATATCCCGGTCTTTCCTGCTGTTGAATAGAAAATGGGAAAAAAAATATTTGAAATATTTTGCTGCAGTGAGTTTTCTCAACCTTCAAGCTATCACGGCTTTCTTTTTTATCTTAAAGAAATCATTTATATAATTTAAATGTTCAAGTTAATCAGCTTCCGTAAAACAGTATAATGAAGTGTGTATAGTAAACACTGTTTTCTAACAAAAAAAATATATTTGAAGGAAAAAATATATTTTTAATTTTTTCCTTCATTTCTTCAATTCAATTGTAGTGAGTTATTACTTTGTGGCACATCATGACATGTCATTAACCAAAAGTGGTGAATTTTACTGTAGTGTCTTTCAGCTGATATTTGGAGAATTTGAATGACATTGATTGCCTGACATCTGCCTTGTTTAACTATGTTAAAGCAATAAATAGAGAAGTACCTTAGTCTTATACTGTCTGACGTTTATTGAGACTCACTGTACAGTATGTCAGGGTACACTGCTTTGTAGTCTTTAATTGCATGTATCAATTCCATAATTCAGATTGCACTCAATAAACAATGTTGCATTTTTTAATTTTATAGTCCTATAAAATGTTATAATGTTTTAACGTTTGATTTTGTGATGAACACGTTTTGTTTTCCATTAACTGAAGAAGATACAATATGCAGCACATCTTTTTACAGCTGTTACTACTCTTGCTGGTTAGAAGCTGAAAGACTGACTATACTGTTGGATGCAAATTAAGACATTTTAAAGTGGTATTGAATAGGTAAAAAAGACAAAAGAAGTAGCCGGCCTACACATTAGAGACTTCTAAACAGCAAATTGAATAGGATATGGCATGTAGCTTATAAAAGTGTATCATTTCTGGAAAGAACTTAGTGTCCTTGTATTCAGTCATTGGATTTTGGAACTGTAATGTGTCTGGCACCATACAGTATCTCTGTCTGTCTGGTTATTATTTAACCAAAATATTGGCTGGTGCAATTATTATTTAGACATCTAAATAACTCTGATTTGCTGTATTATCAGCGCCATTAAAGAATTATGAAAGGTTTCTCTAATGTGTGAATATTACTGCATGCAATCACAGTATCACAGTTATTTATGCATGTCTGTTCTATACTTCATAGGAGAATGAGCTCAAAGTGGTTCTACAGGAAAAAGATCGCTTGAGTATTCAGTTGTCAACCTACAACAAGAAAGTAGCAGAATATGACCAGGTAAGAGCCAACTTGTTATATTGCTTGGACCAGATAATGAAATATGTGTGTCAAGTTGATAACATGATAACAATTCCTGACCATTCTATTTTATAGATATCTTTACCTGTCCAGTAACAAGCAACAATTTTGAAAAAAATCATACACTTGCTTTTTTTCAGTCAAGACAGCTTTGCCTCCTGTATTCTGTAAACTTAGTTGTACAGGCATATCACTGTCTGTATTTGTAGCTGTATGATTGTCAGAGAGTAAGAGGCTTCTTATTTGAGCTTCGGTATGGCTCATCTGTAAAACCTCCCACTCAAGTGGTTTGTTGAGAAAGCCTGTTTTTTGACGATTTGAATCCAGGCTGTGGCCTGGAGCACTTGAGGTCAACACAAAATTGGCTTCTGAGCTTCTGATCTAGGGTGAGATGTAATTACAGTAGTTGTAGAATCATAAACTATTCCTCAGTACCATGCAATGACAGGACTGAGGAGGAAAACCCAATCCCTCAGACAGTGAATAGATCTGCGTTATTTTCTCTTTTGGTTTTTATCTGCTTATTTCTAAGTGTAAAAAGAAGTACTTGGTCTGACTATCTGTGTGTTTCAGAGGATAGGTTTGAGTAATTGTCCAGCTAATTAATATCAAGATAGTTTATCTAAGTTTACACTGTAGCAATGTGAATAAAACTCAATAAACTGAACTGACTGCATTATCAGTGAAATACAATTTACAGGGGTGTTGTATAGCTCTGTTTAGCTTTCATTCTTGAGATCTGTGTGATCTGCACAGCATACTGTAGTTGTTTTGTGCTGAACTAAAACAATACAAAGAGAGATGGAAAAAAGAGAGAGCTACAGGCATTATTGTCTTATCTGAAGGAGATGTTCTTCGACACAAGAATTTATAAGGTACTGTAGATTATAGTTCAGGATATGAAAAAAAGAACAGTGCAGCACTCTAGAAATTACTTTGTGCTAATGCGAAAGTATTGTGATGTTATCATTTTGAAGAGCTAACGTTAACCTGACTGTGACAAAACCTTATAAGCTTCACATCAAAACAGCATTTTAGAGCTATAGTATGTTTTTTCCCCAATTAGGACAGTTTTGCATTGTTGCTTTTTATTCCTTAATGACTCCCGCTGAGCTGAAGGGTGATGAGTTGATGTGCTTTTTTTAAAACACAGAATGTCACTTCTTGTTATCTGTTTACTGTAGGACTGTATTCACATACAGTAACATTTAGCAAGCCAGCAATAACTGCAATAATATAGACAAAAAAATACATGTGAAGAAGAAACACTTGCAATACTTACTATTTTTTTTTTCAAACATTCAAATATGAGCCAAAGGTTTTGATCACAGGTAATCACTTGCTTTTGCATGAATGGGAATAACGAGGGACCATCAAAGATTCTTGTTCTTGTTTTCTTATTCTTTGTCTTCAGAAATTAATACCTCTTAATATTGGGGGGAAAATGGTACTCAGTATTGGAATGCTGTGGAAATGAAAGTATATTTTTAAAACTTTTTTACTCCATAATCTTTGCTGGAAATACCACAACATAAATTGTAGTTTGGGCTATTCATGAGGCATCCAAACATACAGTATTTTTCAGGAGATGTCCAGTCAGGCCATTAAACTCACATTCACCTAATGCAGACACTAGAACAATCTAGCTATTTTTTAGTGTCTGCTTAAATTAATATGATAATCCTCTACTGCGACATTAAAGTGAATATTGATCTGTTAGGCAGATGTTATAATTTGTTGGTTTAAATCCTTGTAGACTAACAGTTATAGCCACATTTCTTTTATTTTTTGTGGTACAGGTTCACCAAAAATCTAATCTGACATTATAATTGAATATTTTTTGTGTTGCATAAGAGGTTAATAGCTTGTTTTCATAACTGTCTCGTTATATTGGATCTAAGCTCGTTGTGCTTTTTTGTTGCCTAAATATTTTTTAAGTTAAAGAATTCCCCTAGAATCAGAATCATATTAAAGCTTCTAGTTTTGTTAAATTACATAAGTCTTCTACAATGCACATATCTGCAATGTAACAGTGCTCATTTCTGCAGATATGAGGGTATGAGATTTAATCGAAAATTTGGAAAGCAGGCATTGTTCCAGATGAGAGAAAATGCTAATTCAAAACCAAAAGTACAGTTTGTCATGCTTGAGACGTAGTAAGTTATTACTTCTGCAAAAAGCCATTGAAATTGCACACTTTGTTACTTTATGCTGCACCTTTTAGATGTAGAAAATTATTTAGCAAAAAGTGAACAGATGGCAAAACAAAAGAGTAAAATAAGCCGTATACCTCCGTGGTTGGAAATAAACAGAAAATATCACTGCCTATTAATCAAAAGGGATCTTCTGAAGGTCTACTCGCTAGCACTAAATAAAAAGTGGATCATGCTCATGCCTATGAAACCCCAGATTCTGCAGTTATATAGTACTAAAGATAATTCCCCTCTGATTTTATCTGTTTATTGTTTAATAATAAACACCCTACATGCAGTTACAGCTGTGGGTTTCTTGGAATTTAAGATGTTATTTTAGCACACATATAAATTTTGAAGAGCTTAGACCTTTTAACCTTTCTTAAGTGTTACAAAGTGTAAATCCTAGTAAACAGGAAAAAATAAGAGTTATCAGTCATTTTCATGATAGCATCATGAATTATCATGTGCTTTTTTTGGCCCTTTCTCTCTACTTCCACTCCCACTCTAATTACATATCACAAAAGTGCATCTAGAAATTACATATAAAAAAAGAACACAATTACTTATTGTGACACAAATCTAATACCAGTTCTAGTTCATCATCTCTCCATCACATCTCTGTCAAATCGACAAAATATATAAAAAAACTGTACTGACAGATACTAATGAGATCACTAAAAATTGGTAAATAATACGGGGAAATGTTTTGTTTTGTGAAGAGATGAGAGGACATGGAAGTAATCAATATATGAAATGAGAATAAAATGGAATGTCATGAGGTTACATGATCAAGCACTTGATGCAGTTGGATTTTAGGTTTCTGTTTCATTTTATTATTAAATTGTTCTTTTAAATCACTCCATTGCTTCTTATTGACACTATTTGGATTTGTATGTTCTCACTATGCTTGTATGTTAAAAAAACACATTTAATTTGATTTTCAGGTGAAGTCGGACTATGTCCAGCTTAGAGAAACCCTTGATATTGTGACTCAGGACAGAAATTCGGCCCTGCAGGAGAAGAAACAGCTCCACGTCAAACTGGAGAACCTAGAGCAGGTCCTAAAGGTGAGGAAATTCACACAAAAACATCAGCTTCCCAGATATCTCCAGATGTTTTAGATGTTGCACTGTTTGATACATTCAAGAGTAAACCTGTCCTATGTCTACTACCTTTCAATTGCATAGTTACTGCTAAATCTGCTGAACAAAAAGGAAAATAAGCACTTTCTCCAAGCTGTTGCTAGACGTTTCTCACAACAAACATTTCTTAAACAGAATAATGGCAAACATATTGAGCTGTAAACTAAAAGGATGATTTTGTAGTTACAATTGCAGAAATAGAAGATTAGTCAAATAAAAGACCTGTAAGTGCAGTTTGGATGAAAATGCACTGTTCAAAAAGGAAATTGATTTCAGATAAAACATTACCAAGAACAGATGACTGATGTCACTTGAACAGTACAAAAAAACAGCAATTTGTGATTGGGAAAGGGAAGCCTATCATTAATGCCAAATGACTGAGGTTTCAGTGAACGTATGCAGATAATACTATGTCTTGTAAAATCCAGTTAACTGCTGGCTTAATATTTGAAGAAGGACATGATTCTTAAACATAAATGGAGAAAGTGGGAAGATTTTCCACAGACTAATTCTAGTTAATTCCAGATTTTTTAACTTGCCAAATACTATCCTAATGGACTATACAGTAGTATTCAGGAGTAAAATCCCAGCAATGGTCCCCACTCAAATACCCGGGTAGATGGAAGCAAATGGGGTACATTACCTAAACCAAGGGTAGAACAGCAATTTCTGCGGCACAGACTGAACCCACAAACCTTTATTCATGAGTCCAATGGCCTATCCCCTATGCTACACTACCCCTCTTTCTTAATATAAAATGTCCGATCATTTTTCAATGACAGCTACTTTCTTTTTAAAACCCCAGTCGTGGGTTTAGCAATTCAGAGCCCTTGTAGTGTAGCAGCAGAGGGGGTAGAGAACCGTGTTTGGTTTTTTTCTCAACAGTGGAGCCATCAGCTGTTTTATACACCACAAATCCCACAGTGCCTACAGCTAAGCAGGAATTCATAGTAGGAACAGTGCAGCTCCTTGTTACACATCAAAGTAGCAAGCCCTCGACAAGCATCAGGCTCACTGTTGCAGGATGTGTAGGTCGCTCTGGCTAATGTTTTTGCCATTAATTGTGGGGAAGCCCTGACTATGAGCTTTTTATGACAAAGCAAGCTCAAATCAGGGTTATAGAGCTCAGTGTTCTTTTGAGGAGCCTCTTTGGGACCCTGCCATTACAGATTGTATTGAGAATTCTGTGTTAGGCAATATTTCAGAGGAACCCTGAAATTTAGCATTTACTTTTACTGTAAATTATAGTTGGAAATAATACTTCTTATTTTTTATTTTACAGTTAGAAGTGATGTGTCTATGGTTTGGTGGTACCTTTTTTATTTCTGTATATCAAGAGTAAAATTGTATTTCTTGTTCCTGTATTCAGCATACAAAGTGAAATCAGACAATGGCTTTAGCTTGAGAAGTACAGTGAACTAACCACAAATGCATGGTTTCAGTTTGTGATGTCATTCTTTGCCATTTTCCAGTCATTAAGCCCTTGTTGGAATTTTTCCAAGGAAGAATAAAATAATTTAAAAAACATATACATTGAAATCATCCAAAACCCATATTACTAATCTTGTCCATGTGTTAATCTGAATTCCATACAGTATGAAAAAGTAGCAAAGATTGTTTTATTTGGGTTGGAGAATGGCTTTGGTTGCACTACAATTCATTTGCTCATATCTGGCTATCTGTAAGACAAATGTCACATTCATTTCCATGAACTAATTATTCACAAGACACATGGGATACTACTGTCCTTGAGCACCTCATTAGCACACAATGAAATAATACTATGCAGATCTATACCACACTTGCACATCAGATGATTCAGTTAGCTGGTTTTTAATTTTCCTTTCTCCTAGATAAATGTATTTTTATTTGTGTAATGTTTATACAAAGTTTTTGAAATACTGTATATATAATCCTGAAATACATAGCCTCTTATCATCAAGCCCAAAGTACCTCATTGCTTGCTAGGAAACAGCTATAACACGAAATATTGTAGCCGTGATCATCAGTAGTGATAGTGACACAGAAGTGATTTTTGCCCCGATTGGATTTTGTGTCATACTGCATTACCACTACTGTTGGCATACAGTAGTTACTTCTCCCATATGCTCTTTCTAAAGTAATCTCCTATTTCTTTCATTAAATCTACTTCATCTTGCTTTCCTATTCAATATGGCATTTTCAGACTGCTTCTGCTGAAACTATTATAAAAATCTTTTAAAGGTCTGCATTGTGCCATTCCTTTTTTCTCAAGACATACGCCATTAGGCTGCATTCAGCTTTTTCTTCATTCAAATGAGTGAAGAAAAAGGAATATTAGGATATTACGGGATATTATAGGACATTTTGGCGATACATTTTCTCTTTGACTTGGACTTACACATTTGCACCATATTCATATCCCTCATTAAGAAGACAATTATCACCAAAACTGTATTTCTGAGTTTGGAGAGTTGTCAATTAAAGAATTCTAGCAAAAATCGTCAATTATGATGTTATTTCTGCTAAGGGCTGTAACATTCTAGAGCCTATCCCAGAAGCACAGGCCGCTCAGGACGCCAGGCCATCGCAGGGCATACACGGATAAGCAAGATACATAATTTAGAGACACATGTCAAACGAGCCAACATTTCTTTTGAAGGCGAGTGCGAACCAAAGCCCTTCTGAAAACCCCCATGAACTCTGTGGAACCCCCATACATAAAAAGATGAAAAGAGATGAAACTCAGAAGGGCCCACGTCTGCAATCGAACCCAGGACCATGGGCTGTTAGGCAGTAGTAGTAACTGGTATAACACTATTCAGTAATTGCTGCAATCTTCAGTTTCAGGTTCACGAGCTCAGAGCATGAGTTCTATTGGAAAAATCAGTATAGCCATTATTTTGTATGCCTGTTGGTCAATAGAATCTGTACTTAACTGGGACTGGAAACGGGATTTCTACAGCACAGTTCTTATTGATTATTGATTTCAGGAAGAGAGTTAATGAGGAAATTAGAGCTAGAAACATCTGCAGAGCATTTCAGGTGTTTGTTTCAGTCGCAGCTCTGAAGTTGAAAGAAACTGATACGACAAAGTTTTGGACACTATCTGTTATTGTAGAAGGATTTTTTCTTTCAGTTGAAAGTTGGGAAGGGGGTCGAGTAACTCATATTAACAGGGTGGTCTCACTGTGAAAATTATCCATTCTCTCAGATAAACATTTAAAAAATGAATGAGGTAATTACAGCGATTACTTTCTCTATTATATATTAAAATGCTTCCCATTAACAAGTAACACTCAACAGTACGCCAGTAATGGGAACAATTGTTCCCTTTGGTGCTTTCAGTCATTAATGCCTGTTGCAGTGGAAGAGAAGGCATTATATAGTTGAGCCTTTTAAAAGAAAGCATTCACACAACATTCTGTTACACAAAGACGAGGTGGTCAGTGGATTGAAAGAACAGAGTCTCTGAAAATGAATGTCCTGCTGATGTTCAGAAAATGTACGAGTATCCACTTTATCTCTTCAAAATGTTTTCTACTCCATACAATAAACTAAAAAAAAGTTCTGAGTTGCAGTATCTGCCTTCATTTTTCATCTCAGAAAGGTGAAATTCTCGTGTCTTTGTTTTACAGCTACAGTGTATAACATGACAAACAACTACTGTAACTACAATGTCTGCTTTGAAAAATAGCAAAGCAGAAGGGGTTGTGTTAATTGGTAGAAATGATGTTTTCTAAAAATGTTTTTTGGAATCTAATTGGATTTGAAATAAATAGCAAACATTATTTTTTTTATTTTGGTAAAATGTTTTTATCTGGGGGAAGGAAATGCACAGTTCCTACCAAATGTGTTGGTTTGTGTTGTAAATAACAGTGCACATCATTAAGGATGGGTTTCAGCTAGAAAAGAGTTAGGCCTCAGTACAAATACCTCCTTGCTGATGAGCAATCATTCTATACCACATCCCCAGCTGAGAGAATCCCAGAGCAGCTGTTAGTGCTACAGTACCTTGGTAATTTGTTTCAGTGTGCAAGTTGCAGTTCTTTCCCTGAATAAATGTAACCCATCTGTAGCAGAATACAAATATCATCTGAGGAATTGCCACGTTTTTACATTTACTGTAAGTGTCCATTCCCAGGGAACACCTTGAAATGCTGATTGCAAAGGAATGTTATGGAGCAAGAATATCTGAAGTATATACTGTTCATGTAACTGCCCCCTGATGTAGTGGACACAGATGGTTGGAGAGCCCCTCATTACTGCTACATCATTGCCCATTTAGGAGTTTTTCAACTGCAGCTTTTCCTTCCTTTTTGACTGCTTTATATCTCTTAATCTGTGCTTTTTCAACCCAGGCTATATCCCTGCCAGGAAAGTTACTGTATATAAAAAGTGCAATCTGCTTCTCGCTGCTCCTAATTAAAATGCTACTGATCCCAATATCTTTCCATTTTTTTTTACTAAAGAAACTGATTTTGTATATACATTGTTGATGCAATCAGATTAACTACCAATTTGTTTAATAGTAAAATAATCACTTAATTTATCTGAAACTTCACAGCACATTGCTCTTGGGAAATGATAGAAATATGAAGTATTTCGTGTAATGTAGATATGATATTCACTTCAAATTCCTGAGTTTTATGAAAAGCAACCTCTCCCAAATAAATAGCAAGGTTACAATTTACATGTCATACATATTTGTGATTCACAAGACCATGTGAGCATAAGAGGACTTCAGATGAGAGGTGACCCTTCAATGCATCACACTCTAATGATTGCTAGTAAATCGATCTGAGAATATAATCAACCATATCATGAGGATTCCTAGGGGACTGGTAACAGTGCGACTTGGTATCTTGTTCCTGACACCTCCCACCCTTTGTGTAAAGAAGTCCTTTATGTTCTCATTCTTCAATGTACTTTCTTATTACCTCCATTTGTGATCTTGTCTTCTGGTTTTGCAGCCACAACTACACTTAATCACAGTTTATTTGTTTTAATTAACACTGTTTTCTACTCCTACGGTTAAAAAAGAGATTTGAAAGTTTTTTCTAGAATAAGGCAAAAGACACATATCTTTGTAAGATCATGTCTGTTTATTATAAACAGTCTGGTTTAGCTTTTTTTACTTTTTTATATATATTTTTTCATCAGGCACTTTTTCCAAAATGCTACTTCATATCTTCAAAGCCTTTTTGCATCATTGTTTCACATTTTATTGAAAACTGAAAACTTTCCTTTCCGCAAACTGAAAATATATTAATGTATAAAAAACAAAAATCGGAACCTGACACAGTGACAGATTAATTTATTTTACCCGGTTATATCCCCTACAAAATGAAGGATGCAATACCAATAATTTTGTTTCAGCAGCACGGCCTCTTCTTGTATCCAATGAATGTGCATGAAAACAGATTCTGCATTAATCTTATAACCACAATGTTGTCAGTTCATCTTCTGAAGCATTAAAAGAGGGGAACTAACCTCCAGTCACAGGGTCAATCAGGTCCAGAATTGTGTTCCAAACAAGAGCCAAAACTCTGCCGTTCGCCAATTACAAATCACTTAAATGTTTATTGCTTTCCAGTGCCTGGTTGGAACTAATAACTGGAGCTGTTACAGCCTTGGAGGACTGGAGCTGTTCACCCCTGAGTTAGATTAAGAAGGTATCATGATATCTACCCCCATCAAGGTGGGGGGTTGGGCTGTTTTTATACTTATAGTCCTTCTTTCCTCTTCATCTTACGCTTTCTTCTGGCACGTGATATCTCATGAGGAACTTTCTTCAATGTACAGCACAATGCAGTTTTGCATGTGACAATAGGCATTGATGCTTCATACAAAATATCAGCTGCAAAGGGCAATCAGAGTTTTGTTAACGACTGTCTCGCTAAAACCTCGCAGGTGAAGTATGACGTAGCATGACAGAAGTATCACTGTCAATAAACTCATCAATCCGTGGAAACATTTTGCAGAGTTAAGAACTTTTTTTCATTCCATTGTTTTCTTTACCCTATAAAATCATGCATTACTCATTTTGCCCATCGTAGTCTTGGATTAAACCCGCATTTATTATTCACCAGTTATTACAAAGGATCGCAGACAATAACCAACAAACAATGAAGCACACTGGAGAGTTTACACCAAAGGGCTCTAGCAGGAAAAAAAAATGATGCATAGTTTGAATGACTTAATACTGTTTTATTTCCTAGTGGTTTTCCAGATACTCAAATTAACATTCCCATTGAAGCTCATCAATTACGTCTAAGAGACGGTTATAAAAGAAACCGGATAGCAATGTTTTCAGGGTGCTGAACGCTTTATGAATGCAGCATGTCTCCAGTCCTCTTTCATAATTTGGTCCGAGATTTCTGGCCCAAAGATCACTAGCAAAAGATACTCGGCAAGAGCCTCCAATGTGCTGCACGCTTCTTACTAGTGCATGGTTCAAAACATCTGGAGCTGTTACAACTTAACAGGACCAGAGCTGCGCACTTCTCTGGCAGGCTGAGGTGCTGCTGTTTCTAATATGTTTATTTCTATGTATTGATTCATTGCAGCATATGCGCGAGGCTGCCGAGCGGCGGCAACAGCTGGAGTTGGAGCATGAGCATGCTTTGGCAGTTCTCAATGCTAAGCAGCAGGAGATCGACCTTCTGCAGAAGGTAAGGTAGACTCTGTGGAATACAAAAGGGACAATTAGGAATGCACTCTGGGCTCCTACTGCGACACATTAGTAACACCGTCTCAGCCAAATTTCAACTTTGAGCATTTCTTATTTGCAGTGCATTCAATGAAGAATATTAGAAAACAAAAGGCAAAAGCCCATGAAAAGATGTCATCGCACCCGGATCAAGATTTGGATACATGCTTGTATAAAATAATTATATCTCGAAATGTTTTGGAATCTTCTTCTGTTGTCTAATCACTCAAAGGCCAGTGTACGAATAAGATATAAGAATGGTACTGTACTTGAAAGCCTTCAAATATGTCTGTTCTATCAAGAAATAAAGTGTGGATGCACCACAGAAAGCATAAGCAATATCTATAAAAAAAAGAACAAGTATTTCCCAAGATGGGAGATCTAATAAGAAAGAATATCATCTGATACTCATACAACCCCCATCAAGTGTTATTCATGGGTAGAAGGAGTTAATCTTTATTTGCATCAATAATACCTTGTTACATTTTGCTTGCTTTTTCTTCAGGGGAAGGGGGACAGTTTAATCACTTGTGCTGTGGTTTTATAAAATTAGAAATATGGCAGATGTTACCTAAGTCATGTGGAACAGCATTTTTCTTGACAGATGTTAGGAGTCATATCAAATAAAAGGAAGTAAATTGTGTTATATTTTAGGTAATAAAGTTGAATTCTCTGCAAATGCAGTATTAAACACCCATTAATAATACAGAAAGGCTGCTTGTTTTGTACCTCAGTTTTCAGTCGTGATTAAATATTGTGCAGTAGCATCAGATTTTCCGTGAGACCATAAAGTACAAGAATGTAACACAAAACAGGTAACAATTGCAAATTAACAATGGTAGCTGGCAGATTGTTGGTCTGAGAAACCTGAGAAGCCATGTCCCCAGGAGCCTTCTGATTTCCAACCGTTTTAAAAAAATATTCCTTAGTGATTTGTTCCATACACAAACTTCACTAAAGAACCATTGCTTCTCCTCCATCCTGACACAATAAACCCAGGCAAAGACATCACAAACATGATCCTTCTCCTGTCAAGTTCATGTGCTCCTGCAGTAGAACAGGAGAACACTTGAATCTGAATTTTCCTAGGTCACCTAGTGGTTTATACTTATCTCATGCACCTGTCCAGAGTTGACTGGGCTTTTTGAATGACTGCCCCAATATAGTCCAAAAACAAATCAGGAAAATGGAAATGAAATGGATTGAGAAGAGATGGGGGTGACAAAACTACAGGGTACAGCAATCACCATGAATCCACAATCTCACTGATTAATCTGTGACAAAGGCAGAGTTTAGTAATGGTCCTCCTCCCTGCACTTGAAGTCAATCTACTCTAATGAGCCTTCAAATTGAAGTAGAAGAGCACTTTCTGTTTTATTATGCCGATAATTTAGAGAAATAACTCTAATTGTTGTTCCATATTATTATTCCCAATCACCTTTAAAACAGATTTTTACTGCACAGAAGAAAATGTATCATCTGCGCAGAAAACATTTTTTAGTCTGTGATATTCCCATCTCTTCTTCAAAACCCCTAATTAAAGTGGATTAATACGCCACAGAGTACTATTCATGTATCCAAAACATTTCTTAAGCCCAGCATAATGTGGTTATTATAACACATTCCTTGTAACTGGCAGTACAGAAAGGGCACGATGTGATTAAATAGTTTTCTTGTTTTCTCTAGTGAAACAGTGGCTTAATTTTAATAACATGTTCTATATTTAAAACAAACTACCTAAGTACACTCTTAATGCTGGCGTCATTAAATGAATCAACATTTGTAAGAGTCGTGAAAGAGAAATTAGCAGAAGTATTTTGTTTCTTTCATCTGAAACATAAATTATAAATATATAAATAATATTACATTTAAGTAATACCAGTATGAACATTTGTCTGTTTAGTTTAAATATGATTATCTTTATTTTTTAACTTAATTAAAAGTTCAATAGGTAGACAAAGCAAATGAGCTTATTATCGCAGTGTAAAATCCTGCAAAGACACCAGCAATATTAAAGAACTTGTCTGATGTAGCAAAAATGTATTTGTAACATTTGTTACAGTTATCAAAGAAGTGCAACCAACTCTCCCTGGATGCAATGATATTAGTTTTGAGTGTGGCTCTATTAACTGAAGGTAATGAAACCTAAACACATGGCAGCTGAATGACTTTTTCAGTATTAGTTGTTTTAAAAACTGAATGTTGTGGATTCTATTCTTATAAATTTATAGGATCAATGATTAGGTACTGAAGAGACAGAAAGCCTTCTTCTCACTTCTTTACTCTTATTGTCTGTGATTTCATGCATCTGCAATCATGGGTCTCAGCTGACTAACTTCATTGCCCTAACTGGCCTTCCACGCCTTCTTCATAAATGGACAGTTTTCCAAGTATAATCTAGAGATCTCTTTTAAAAAATCAAAAATTCTCTGAATTCATAAACTGAGCATCACAGAAATCAACAAGGTAATTACTGTGAAAATATGTATTGTGGCAGTTGCATTGGCATGTTACTCAGAGTGAATCTACAGCTAAAGTCACAGGCTAGTGTCATGGGTGACCATAGTTGAAAGCAATGAAAGCTGTACATCTGTGACACGTGCTTTGAACCAGGTTGCAGATGCAGATTTGTGAGATTCCTTGTGTAGATCGTGGACATGCTTGTGACTTTTAACTCCTCTCTTTACCCTAGATGCAACATATCATCCCCGCCCATACCACAGGTGCTCACATATGGCAAGCAGGGCATTGAAGGCATAGCTGTTGCATTCTTATCTTGCAAGAAAAGTATGATAAAGCATTATAAGACATACAAGGACATGCATTGTCCTGCTAGAATGCTGTCTCATGAGGATGAGCCCGTATGAAGTGGACCAAGTACGGTCGAAGGAACTTTTCTTCCCTGATTTTCACCAGACATGTCATTCAATGGGTTAAATGACAATCACCAGCACCCAGTCAGCTCCCTTACGAATGAGGTGATTTAGTGCCATTACAACAGGCAGCATCACTCAGTTAATCAAAATGTCAGAATTACTTAATCAAAATCTGTCCACTTTAGTTTTCTAAAAGCACATAAGCATAAGCTGAGTTGGTGTCATAACTAGGTGTCTTTTGATGCTCAATAGTGACAGTTTACATACCTTATCATAGATATTTTTTAAATATTCGCTTCTTGGTTAGGTTTAGTCTTTCTTCCGCCATATTCACTTCCATTTTAATCAAGAAAAATTCCATCCAAATGTAGATCTTAAACACTCAGCAGCATCAGTTAGCTAATATCTAAAACCTCATACAATGTATTATCTGTCTGGCGTACTGTCAACAGTATTGTGTCTACCACTAATGAGATCCTATTAATAAGTAGTTATTTTCACTTCTAATGCTCAACCATCCATTTTCTAACCACTTTATCCAATATAAGATTACGGGGGAGCTGGAGCCTATCCCAGCAAACAGCAGACCCAAGGCAGCATACACCCTGGATGGGACAGCAGTTCATCACAGAGCACATGAACAGACACAATCACACCACAGTCAGTTTTCCCAGAAGCTAATTTACTTACCAGTATGTCTTTGGACTGTGTGAGGAAACTGGAGCACATTTTATGGATAATTGTTAAGAGAATCAGAAGGTTTCAGCAAAGAAATGGCACATAATAAAATGTATTTACTACACTGAAAACTCTCTAATAACGAGCCTGTTAAATCAGAGTAATAACATCAGAACAACACTATCATGCACAATCATTTTGTCTTTCTCCAGTGATTATATACGTGTGCGAACAGGGGACCCTACCTGAAAGCTCATTGTTGCTGACATTTATAAAAAGTGTCTCCTGTGTGTTTTTAGTAGCTCTGTGTTGTGTTGATATATTTTTTTAAATCAATTGAAGGAAATCACTGGAAGGAAAACATTGTTTTTAAAGGTGTACACACTCAAGAACTTTTTGATGGTCCTGACTGGATCTTTCCTATCCCTATAAAAAGTGTCTGACAGAAACACTGCCTTTTCTACACCTAAGTTTGACACCTCTTGTTTTTTCTTTTCTTTAATTGGTAAAGGCTCAGGTTGAAGCTAAGAAGGAGCATGAAGGAGCAGTACAACTGTTAGAGGTAAGCAAAAGGTATTTTTGTCTTTGTTTTTTCTCGTTTTTAAATTGATTTGTTAGAAATTGATTTGAATGTACTGTGGCATGTAGGATGAGATGTGGAAGTGATGTGAATACAGCTTTGTTAATTGTGGAGTTCTGCATTATTAGTAAGATGTTTTTTTTTAATAGCTGAGCACCATAAACAAGAAATTCTTCTCTCCAAAAGTTTGGGAATAAAATAATTAAAAAAAAACAATAAACTGGGCAATCTTCCGAAAGGTTGTTAGAACTGATTTAAAACATTTTATTCTTTGGATAGCTTGACCAATATTCTCCAAGCATCCATATATATTCTAAATGATGGCAAATTTCCTGAACAATAGTAGAGTCAAAAGTAGAATCATTTACAGTTAAGTGTTCACACATTTTGTATCTGGGGTATTTAAGACATTGCTAGGGTTACAACGCGAGTTCTGTTGAAGCAGTTATTGCATTTTTCTAGCATTGCTTTAATATGTTGTCATTTGTGTTTCATCATTGAATTTTTCTTTGGATAAGTAAAATGTACACATACTGTATAGTTCTAGACCTATGAAGAACCAGAGCCATCTCAATATGAGCACATAATAAAGCTAATGTTAGTCTAGTCCTCACATGCTCTTATTTGAACCATTGGGTACACAACCCTAACACCAGTTTTTTTTTTCCTCACAGCCTTATAGTTTTCATAACCCTAACCCTAGCTCAGTCCAAACCCCTACTCTGAGCTCAATGCCTTTTCAATTCTGTCCTTAATCTCAGCAAAAATATAACTTTTAGGATATAAAATAATATTTTCCAGCCATAGTCCAAATGATGGTAAATTTGCTTTTCAGTTCTTTGAGGTTTAACATTGGAGGAATATTTGGTCAAAACAGTTGGCAAATGACAGGTTTTAGATATTACATGGACCTGGTATATTTTTATTTTTATTTTTCATTATTATTAACATTATAGTTACATCGAAGTAATCATTGTGTTTTTCTAGCTTTGCTTGTATAGTTTGATTTAGCTGTTAAAAAAAAATAGTTTCAGTTCACAATTTCTTTCGCAATGGCTCTCAGTATACATATGGTAGGCGAGTTAGATGATTAACCCATTTGAGGACACAATATTATTTCGTAACACAGCATTCAGCACACGTTTTACTTAATGGAGCTCAGACCATACATTTAGGAAGGAGAAAAAACCTCAGTTTCCATTAGTTGGTTCATGTACAGTACACGTAATGTACATACTTGGGACTTTCCTTCCCGGTTGCATTTCTCAACATCCCATCCAGCCAAGGTAGTTAAAGTCAAAAGTTTGTCAATAAGTCCATTTCAAGTGTTAATGAAGCTTTCATATGCTTTACTTCTTGGGGTTATTTTTGAATTCTTATATGTGGTAGGTTATGGAGGAGTTCTCCAAAACAGTGTTCCCAAAGGCAGGATATTAATCTCACTTTAATTTAAAAAAAATACCAGGCAAGAAAGAATGGTTTTTCTAATGTTGCCAGCATTAAATCAATAAACTGTATTTCTGAAACAGATATCGCCTGTGTTCATCTCTGATTTTGATTGTTTCATTGTGTGATGCATTCCTAATATCATTTAAATCATATCAATTCACATAAAAATGGGATCTTTTATGCTGAAGATATCTCCACTGAAATGAAATACAAAGTGAAACTTTCAAACGCCGCTAACGTCCATACATTTGTTAAGCCCATTAACTGATTGGAAAAAAAAATCAATTAAGCAAGTCTCTGGCCGAATGGGATTAATTCAGAGTAAACGTACTTGCTTTATGATGAGAGGTAGATTGAAGTTGGTGGTGAGGAGGAGGTCTGATTTCCAAGTATTTACAAAGTCTTACCGGTTTTAACTGCATTTTGTGTTATAGTAAGAAAGTGCTAGATCATGTTTCTTTTTTTTACTTTTTTGAAATGCATGTGGAATACTCTGGTCTACGTCAGGTCATACCTGTACGTATATACTGTAGATCATGTCTTAGAAGGAACATTCTTCAAAGTTAGCATGTGTATTAAAAGCAAGCAGTCTTCATACTGTAAGTTATGGGTAACTATCAATCTGATTCTGTAGCTGAGTGGTACCATATTCCAAATCTAAGCATTTTGGCTATTTTGAATAACCTACCAGGCCCTTTAGGTTTCTAAAAAAATGAATAGAAACCTCCATAAAAATATAATTTATGTACAGTAGCTGTATTCCACTGTATTTGAATGTCCATTTTTGGAATCACTCGTCAGTTGATACCTGCTTTCCTCTTTTAATCAACTTTACAAATAGGGTTTTTTTTAATAGAAGAGTGCTTGCAAGTCACAATGGCTAGGTTGTGACAGAAAATCTGCAGGAAATAAGTATAACTTGTATTTGTTCTTGTCTAAATATTTTTATGGATTGAAAGCAAATACAGGGCAGCTTTTCTAGAAGCAAAGCTATCGGATATTACCAGCATTAAAGAAAAAACCGCAGATGTAAAATAGATGTACTATATTCTTTTGCTTTCACTTAACATTTTTTTGCAGGATGTAACAGTAGGTCATAATGCTATTTGTTTTGCACTTAAGTTACAGTATGTTTCTATTTATATGTGAAGTTGATTTGTGTATCATATTGTGTTATTGATTGTTTTGCATGATGTGAAATGGAATCCTTTATCTTTTCTTATTATGTTAATATTCAATAGCCTTACTGTGCATTATGTGACATTATTTGTGGTATCTTTTTCTTTTGTCACTGTGTTATTGGTATGTTTATTTTTTCACATACAGAACACCTTGGACAGCATGCAGGTATTTCAGAATTGTTTGTTGCTTAACATTCTTCAACTATTATTATTATGAAAATGACAATTGTCCCCCAGTTTAATTTGAGCTTTAATTATATTTCATTTATATTCTATTTAACTATTATCTATCCACTATCAATCTGTAATCATGCTATTATGCATTTAAATTGTTTTGATAATCATAACATTTTAGGAACTGTATGAATTGTTGATAATTAGAAATATAAAAATAATATTTATTCTACTATAATCTTAACCTTAAAAAGATGCCTATTTAAATTTACTGCATTTTCTTGAGAAAAACAGTGATGGCTAAATTAATTTGGGGGTTGCAGTGCTCCAGACATTCTTTTCTAATTTTGCATGATTCAAGAACTGAACAGATGCCAAAGGTCAAAAGAGATACATTTCATATGCAATCTTTAAATAGTAGAACCCAAGTACAATGTTGATTCTGGTCACAAAGACATGTTACCCATTCCACAATTGTTTAGCCTACCAGCTATTTCTAATAATTGCAGAAATATTTTCTGATTGAAGCATCCTCATGGGTAAATTTAAAGAAAACTGAGAAAATAGGAATATTCAGTTCTTGGACATGTACTACAGTGTGTGTTTGCAATTCTTCTTAGCTGTAGACCTGTGTGGACTGACTTTATATTGCTGAATCACTAGTGCAGATGAAGTTACTGAGTTTTAAAATCTGATCTGAAGGATCCACAACTAATAGCTATCCTGTATTAATTTACTGAGTGATAGAGAGACATTTACTCTAACTACAAACTATACTCCATTAAGACTTCCAAAACAGCACTGAAGGAAGGCCCCTTCGAGACAACACACCTGCTGGTTTCCATTACAGCTGAGCTCAGTTGCCTAATAGAAGCCTTAATTGAAATAACAAGTTTCTTGACTGGAATTATTGGCAACTTTTTTCACCACTGAAAAGATTGGGTTTTTATTCCACTCAAGAAATGCAAAAGGCAACTTTCAACATGAGCTAAAAGCAGTCGGAAGTTCAAAACCATTCTGTTATTAAGTCAATTAAGGCTCCAGTTGTGTACAGTAAGTGAGAGCTCAGCAGGAGCAAGAACCAGTATCTATGTGGTCCCGACCAGAACCCCTGTACTTAAGCATTCCTGTATTGAAAACAGATGAATATCTCTGTTTATTTGTGCTTCTTTACAGTTTTGCATGAATTCTGCATGTATTTACAAGATCATTATGTAAGATAGTGTATATTCTGAAATATACACTGAAATATATAATTCACCAACACAGCTATTTTATGATACCATTTAATTATGGAGTGATCTAAAAAGTCATATCAGCCAACCTCATACTTCAGTCACATCTCTACAACCGAAATGTTGTGTCTCTTTTCTTTTCCTCCATGGAAAAAACCTTTACCAGTTCCCAAAAAGTTACATCCCTGATTTTAGTTGCATGTTCAAAGAGCAGCAGTGTCTCTTGAAAAAATTATAGTTTTTCTCCTTAAATGGAGCAAACCATTTGGTGAATACAATGTGCAGGACAGAGGAAATAGTCAATCTGGGAGAATCTGTCCGCACTCTAAACACGTGTGAAATCTCATAAAGTGTGCTGATGAGATTTTCTATTGTTTGATCAGTATACACAAAAGGTATATACAAAACAATATACATATCATCTAGATAGGCGGCAGTGGAGCTACCTGTACAGTATGTCCCATCACTAAAATAACCTATGATAAAATTGAATCTTATTTGATTTCTGTTTTATGAGTTTTTCATGTCAGGGACTGATCATTGCTTTTCTATTCATTGCCATACTTCCAAAAATTTTATAATACCCACAAACTAAATGGTGATGACCAACTTTCATCAGAATATTCTGTAGCAAAGGTTGCAAACCAGAGGAGGCATTTGGCCTATCTAGCCCATTTAGAAGTTAGTAGGTAGATTCCTGGATCTCAACCAGCTGTGTCTTGAAAGAAGCCAGGGTAACCTGGCTTGGGAGCTTGTTCCATATTCCCACAACCCTTAACCTTTCGTCAAAGTAGAAGTGTCAGCAGGAAGATAAGTGGAAAACAAAATTAATAGTACTCATCTTGTTGAATACATCATGCTTTGGAATATTAAAACTAATGCATCCTTGAAAAAAGGCCCTTTTTTTCCTCCTTAGAGATGAAGTAGTGACCTTGAACTACTAAGTTATCTATGACTTTTTCCAGATTATGACCATTACCGTAGGTTTTTGTATTTGTGATGCTGTACAATGAAAAAAAAACAATAATATGCAATTACAGGAACCTCAGTTTTGTACTCGTGAAGGGCTAGGAATTGTCTGTGATATGGAATTAGTTACATTATTAGCATGTCAACAAGAGGCATTCTGCACAAAGCATTGAGCAGCAGCATCTTAACAATAATCCACTTCAAACACTTTAAATATATTGCTTTGTATGCAGCTAGGCAACAATTGATCTGAGTCATCCATCACAGATATGATAGCCAAATAATGTCTACTATGAAACCTATAGAAATTATTTCAGAATAAAAAACTGAGTTGGAAGAATTCTACTTCTTATTATACCTTATGAGACAGGCAGCTGTAGGATGATTTTGTTTAACATATCATGAATTGACATCACATATGAGCAATAAAATATACTTACTATTTATAAACCTTTATATAAGTTAGTTCCTTCTTTAATTTTTACAATATGGGTTTACATCTGCCAGTTAGAAGAGGATGAGTCAAAGGATAAGCTGTGTAAGTCTGATCAGCAGCAATAGATTTGTCCCCTCTTGGTGGTCCATTCTACACGCAGTGTGGCAGGATATGGTCAATCACAGCCTGTGCTCTCAAATGCTTTACAAACATTTTGTGTCTGTGTGTATGGTAGGCCAAGGTTCGAGAGTTGGAGGAGAAATGCCGGTCACAGAGTGAGCAGTTCAATCTTCTATCAAAAGAGCTCGAGAAATTTCGCCTGCAAGCTGGGACGTTTGATTTATTCAGCACTAACCCTTTAGCAGTGTGTGATACTCCTGGGACTCCCACCAAATCACTGTCCCAGCTCCTCAATGGACTAGCCACCCCAATTGGGAAAGGTGAGGGAACTTACCTTCTGTGTCACAAGGCAATAACGCAGATCAACTCTAACCCAATGAGGTTTAAAAACGGAAAAAGTGCAACAAAAATTAATTAATTAATTAATTGTGGTGAAAGAAAAGATGTACTGGTCATTGTCTTTCTAGATATCATGCCATTGGTAATACAGAATAATTGTTTCAAGGCCGTTTTTTTCCATAAATACTACAGAGCTAATTTGTTCTTGTGAAAACACTGACCTTAATGAACACTGCGAGCGGAAACTCTCTTGTACTCGCTTCACAACTGGTACAGGGCAGATAAACTGGTATAATTTAATTAAGATTTGCTGCCTCATGATTTTTTTTTTGTATTCAGTAGCATTAACATCACTTTTGTTTCCTTTTTTACAGTAGAAACAATATCTTAGATCCAGCTGAAGAAGTGATCTCCAAGATTAAAAACTTATTTTCAAAGATTAGAACTTATCAGAGATACAGTGTATGGGTATTTCAGAAAGTACATGTTTTAAAAAACACAGTTGGGTCATACAATAGCAGTTATACAGTAGCAACAAGATGAGAGAGAGAAGTACTTAAGTTGTAAACATTTTTGAATACATTTAAACAGGGATAAATTAGATTTGGTTCTGTATATTACTGCAATATTGTTTAAAAGAAAACTGTGTAATTTTTAGTGTATTTTTCTTCTTTTCTAGGCAATGAGAGTCCTGCAAACAGAAACATAATATCCGAATTTATTCAACCTATCCAGATATCTGGAGACAAACCTGAACTCCTGTCTGTGAAGCCAACATTCCTCACCAGGACTCGGACTAGTAGCCCCCATCGTGCATTTTTGGCAGAGGTCAGTTGTTTTATAAACTTATAATCTCATCTTTAATACAATTTAGCTTTTGCTTAAGCTTTTTGAATCCATCATTTGCTAAAATGCAAGGAGAAGGCACAGACTTCCCCCATGACCCTGAACTGGTTGAAGCAGTTAGAAAAATGAAGGATGGAGGTACGGGCTATATAAAAATTAAAACAGTGAAACTGAATTACTGGTAGTTGAAATTTCACAAAGCTTTCATCAGAAGTTCATGCCCTTAAAATATTTTATTTTGTACAAGTAGCAAATCCAGGGGGAGGGAATATTTGCATTTATCCAGGGTATAAATATGTGCATTTGTGTAATGAGCTAAACCTTTGTATCATGTCAAGACACCAAATGTGCATTTTTATTGCATATTGTATGAGAGAGAAAATTCTGCCAAATATGCTCAATATGAAGAACAACCTACTCTAAATTCTTACTGCGAGTCCTCTGCGAAAGAGTTGACATTCTCTTTAGCTTTTATAAAATTTCCCTGTTAACTCATTCTGCTAATAAATAATATTTAGATAGTGTTGCCAGAACACATTGTTCTTGGCAAGTATCTCCCTGATCCAATCTTTATTGTATGCAACTGTGCCTGATTTATACACATAAAATAAAGTCTACAGCTTGGCAATCATCATGCAAGCAGGCGAGACAGTTTTATCCCTCCCCCCTTGCTGGTCTTCCTTTCTTTTACCTTGTAAGCTATCAAAACCTTGGGGAGTCACACTCTTCAAGTGCTTTTTGTGGAATGTTTAGGTTGGAGGAAGGCATGAAGTAAATCTCCTGAGTACTGGCCAGTATTGCAGTCATTGCAGCTACTGCTGAGAGGCAAAATGCAGACTGAATTTGGTGTTTCACAATTCTCCCAGGGGTGGAGCGCAAGCTATATGGCTCCTAGGGTGTGTGAAGCTGTCTTTCACAGTTACTTGTACTGTACCATCTTTTCTAAACATTGTTAATGTAATATGTAAGATATCAGTGTTCCATCTAGCTTGTTTGGTTTCTAATAGGTGATCGATTCAGGGATCTCATCCAGCTGGTTTTTAAATAAGGTCCGGTTATTGCTTTCAAATATTTGGCATGCTGGATTGATCCAGTCTACCACAACAATTGCTGATTTCTACCTTCAGTCTGCGGTTACTGTTTCACTGTTAATCTTGAGGAATTTGTGTTGACTTTGTCAATGTCTTTGAGGGTTTTGAATTTAACACGTCAGTGTAGATTTCATACATTCCTTCAAACCCAGAAAGATACTAAATCATCACTTCAAAAAAATCTTGAAGAGAGCCCCCCCAAAAAAGACCAAACTTACTGTACTTGTTCCTTCTACTCCACTAACACACCAATGCATGTGTTCTTTTTATAGTGTCTTTAGACTTGTTGCTAAGCAACCATTAATTCTCAGCACTCTGTCACTTTTCATAACAAAGGTTTCAAATGAAAAGAGGCCACTCAATTCATGTAGCTCATTTGGTAGTTAACAGACAATTGATCCAGGGATTTCATATCTCATCTAGCTGTTTCTTGACTGCTTCAACAATTTAATTAACAACATAACTGGGTAGCGTGTTTCAGATTCTCAAAACACATTTTTAACACAGGACCATGGCATGTCATAAGTTCATATTGTTTGGTCCATGTGTTTACAGATTGTTAACTGATTTACAGATTGTTAAAATAAACAACAACAACAACAACAACAACAAAAAATGTTACTTTACGTATGTCAAGCTGTTTTACTATATACTGTATAAACCAGGCTATAGAAGAAGGCTATTGCATAGGAGACCAAGAGACCCAGTTCTGCAGGTTTTATATCAGGCAGTAATCATCATCCTTTACACTACTTTTATTAACAGATGAGCAAAAGTTTGCCAAGGCCAAATGGGTATTAATTCAAGACCCAGAGTATCTTAAAATGGTTTGCTTTTAAGTACAGATTCAACATTTCTTCCTGAAGCACAGGTGTTTCCCAGTTTATACCTCACATAATGAAAGGGGTATAAAGAATTAAATATGATTTGTGCCCGTTGTTGTCTGTGTATATGCACTTATTTAAATTATTGCCCCCCTAATGTAATAGATCTCAAAAGGTTTCAATATTTTAAACTCCCTTATGCAGAAGATTCACATCATATCACTTCTGTCAGTAAAATTACTGCAAGATTTTGTAGTTCTTTTGTAATAAATCCCTGCAAAGTGTTAAATTTCAGCTATTAATTCAGGAACCATTCCATTCCCTTGTGGTGGTCCATTTATCTTTAAATACTAGATGTAGTGCTATTTCTCTAGATAAGAAGACGGATATGATTTCTTCATGAAATTGCTTAGTGGTGCAATTCAGGTGGATGGATAGATAAAAATGTGATACAAAAGATTGTTTTAGAAATGTGTGCTTTGCTTTCATGCAAATCAATATAAACAAATTATAGATGCAGCTTTGTCTTTCAGCTATCAGATTGTCAGACCATTTTTCATGTTGTTATTGAGCCTTATATTCCTATCAGACATTCATATTTACAGGGTGCAAATATGTCAATAATCTTGAGTGACTTTCCTTAGTATCCTTCACACTCTTATCTAGGTCTGTGACTGATGAGCGCTTTTAGCTGTGTTGTTGAGCTAATACATGAACAGGTTCATCTTTGTCTCAGTAACTGATTTGCTAAGCATAGTGAGCATCACAGCATTCACAGGGTTCTACAGTTAACTCTGGAATATCATACAATAAAAATTAGTGTTCTTTCAAAAACTATTTTAGGAATTTGAGTTTGCATAGGATAAAAAAGATCATGGTTAAGTTTCTAAACTCCACATGTGTATTTCTAGTTTTCTAAAAAGCAGTGGCTCAGGTAAGGTCTAATTATTACTTACTGAGTATTTACTGTTATAGCCCTGTGCAAACACTCATTTCTATTTGGGCAATTCCAGAAAAGGGTAATGATTCCATAGACGAAAGGCTTAAATTCGGGAAGTTCATGCTCAAACTCCTTTTCCATTTACTTTCAATCTGGCATCTTACTGTATATCCTGGATATGTAAGGCAAATGTGCAAAAAAAACCTAGTACACCCTTGTTTGCTCTTTCCACAAGAATCTTTCCCATCCCATACTGAGTGTTACTCACTTCTGAACGAGTCCTGAGAGGAGTCTGTCAGTAGCCTATTAATATTATCAATATGGGCAGGTTTTAGGTGTTTTGGAACTGTTGATCAGACACATGTAGCTGGGTAATATTTTAAACCAATTACTTTTATCTGACAAACCCAAGGTGTTATAATACTTCAAACATTCAAACAAAATGCATTTGCAAAACACTGTTTAAGTTGTTTTAGCTTTAATTTTCCCCTACTCCTCAAGGAGAGACCTGACAATTCATGTTTTCACCTTAAACCATTCATTCTAGTCAAAGACATCTCATCTGTTTCTGATCTGAACTGGTTGAGAAGATTTTTAACAGGTCAGACCTCACCTTTTGTAATAGGGGGAAAATAAATATTCTATTCTATAGTTATTAGAAAACTGATTGTAAATATATATGAACCCATGGGTGATAAAGTTATTTGTTTTTTTTTTTAATGCAGATGGACAATGAACTAAGTTCTACAACTTCCAAAGCAAGGTACACAGGAAAGGTCCGTCTCTGTATTGCCCGATACAGGTAAGGGTATTGGTAATTTATTCAGTCTCAGTAATTGTAAGTTCATAATCAGTGAAAACATGTCAGTTTGGAAAGGTTATTATCTTTGGTGTTGCAGTCGCCTGCCTCTCCCACAGAGATAGAGAAGGTGCCGCGTTATCTGAGAGTGTTCCTCAGCTAGAGTACAGATCATCAGGCACTGCACTGCAGCATTTTTTTGTAATCTGTTTTGCACGTCATGCTAAATAAGGAAAGTTAAAATTGCAATTTGTCATATCATTTATTTTTTCTTGTGCACTCTGCTCTCCCAAAATCAAGATTATTGAAGTTAGTTTTCTAGCAGATTTGCTCCTGCACACATCCTGGTTTTAGCAATAAGCCATATCTGCAGGTGTATCGAAACCTAATATTGACTATGAAACTTTCAAACTCTCTTTCTGAGATTGTCATTTAGATTAACATGAGCAGTGAATTCTAAGAAACCTAGTTATGGGAGGGCAGTTTGTATACATATATTATTTTGTATAAATCCCCCAATATCTCTCCACATTCACGGGTGAAGTCTGTATAGATTAGCTTAAATGAACACAGCTGGTGTTCATCAGTAGTTTCCTGTCTGTATTTGATCTTGCAAAACTAAAATTTGTTCTGTTATGGACTGAAGGTACAATTGTGACTACTGTCAAAAGACCTAAATTAAAATTGCCACATGTTTAGTTGGGAGGCCTCTTCAGTAAAAAAGTGTTCTGGGTAATTGTGGTCAGCAGATGGTACTAAGCAAGTGTTAAGTGTATGCGACTTTCAACTGCTCAAAATATATTGTATATAGTGGTTGTATATAAGACTTTATACAACGTAAGTTGTTCTGGGGTAAAGGACCCCAACAATGATTTCCCATGTATCTCTGCAGTATTATTAAAACAATAAAAGCCACAGCTGCCCATATGCATTTTAATACTTTCAGTACATCTCAGATGGTGATGCTCAGCTTGGCTTCCAATATGAAAAAACAAATTGTGCTCAAAATAAAAAATAATTGCCGTTCCCTAGAACAAAGGGAACTATAATTCTTATTCATGAAATGCATTTAAATCCTCCTACATTTTATCGTCAGCTCAAGGAATATAGTTTTTAAGAAAAACAGAAAAGTTTCTTAATGATGAATCAGTTATTCTCCAGATGAATTCCTTAAATTATATGGATGCCCTTTTTAAGGACTTTCTATTTGCTGCAGCACTCCAAAGTATTAATTTTATTTTCTTTACTTGCTTTACTTGTATATTCATCTTTTTTTTTTTTTTGCTCAGTTCATTGTTATTGCCCCTTGTATAATTTTGACAGCTAGTTTCTATTTCCCCTGGCTCCATCTTTCATCCATTATATCATTAGAATCAACACTAAAACACTTGTAAGGGGGAAAATCTAACTGGTACCACGCCATAGGATGAGACCACTTAAACATGATCTAGACACCACACTTGCTTTGAATGTCATGAAACAACCAACAAGCCCTACAGCATGTATGACATTATTATCTACATCACCTCCTGAGTGGTCCACCTTTATCACAACCCATCCATCCTTCAGAAGATCACGAAAGAAGGCCTAACCATCAATGGTGCTAAATGTTCTTTTTCCCTCACAGATGTTTGATATTTGGGAGACATCATGAGTGGCATAGTCTGGTCTTATGCAGACAAAGTTGAGGCTATCCATAAATGTGCCGATCTTAAAGGCATGTGGTTGTTCTTGGTCTGATCAACAGGTATCTTTTGTTCCTCTGTTTGCTGACAACAAACAGTATAAGTAACCCCACAAGGATAAAACTCAAAAAGAATCTCACTTGGAAGGAGGAATGATCAATTACCTTCCACAACCTAAAAGAATCAATATCCATGCACCTGTCCTTAAATGTCTAGATATTACAGCTCTGCCTTTGGTGTATACAGATGCCTCAAGTATTATCTTGGAAGGATTTGCCCTGGAAAAAGATGAATAGGAGCCCCCAGTTATATACTTGAAAATTGCAACTGAGAGAGATGCTTGACGTTGAGGTCTTAGCTTCCACATGGGCTTTAGAAAGTCTAAAATGTTGCATACTGGAACAACATTTCAAATGGGAAATGGATCATCATACATATCTCGCTTCACATACTGTATTGAAGGACATCAATAATCAATGCATGTTCTGGGCATTATCTTTGCAAATTTTCCTTTATTGTTGCAGTTTATTTGTCTTGAAATCTGAAAAACCTGGCAATGGACAATGCATGCCTTGAGAAATTCTAGGACTGCAAGAGAAAACTGTATCTTCCTGCATGGAAATAAAATCATGCCAACACCTTGAAGAGCACAATGTTCTCAAGCTTCCTTTGTAAAGACAAGGGGATTTATTGTGACAGCGCAACCACAGAGGCTACACAAACAACAAAGACATGTACTCACCTGAATCTTGAATCCCACACCATCAGCACATGAGTCACCCTTGGCAGATTAAGGCATTTGGATAAAGGAAGAGGGACACAATTAGCAACCGACATGAAGAAATGTGACATATAGACATTTTTACACAAACACAAATTATTTCTGATGTAAATATTTTAAGTGTTTTGTCTGTTATTTTCTGATCTGGAGTATGTCTTTTGTGCATTGCAGAAAAGCATAGGATGTTTAAATACTAACAAATGAGTCTGTAATTGCCTAGACCTGAACAAGGGAGAAGGGCATTATATTTCATATTTTAAGTATATCTGTGTCCTGTGTTAAATGTTGGGAAAGAATTAGATGGTAGTGTAGTGGAGAAATAGTAAGACAGTTAACAATTGCATAATGATATGGCTGCTGCAAAGCCAGCAGCCATATCACCCTGCAACTCACAACTGGCAACCCACTGAAGCTAAGCAGGTGTGAGCCTGGTCAGTACCTGGATGGGAGACCTCCTGGGAAAAACTAAGGTTGCTGCTGGAAGAGGTGTTAGTGGGGCCAGCAGGGGGCGCTCACCCTGTGGTCCACGTGGGTCCTAATGCCCCAGTATAGTGATGGGGACACTATACTGTAAACAGGTGCCGTCCTTCGGATGAGACGTAAAACCGAGGTCCTGACTCTCTGTGGTCATTAAAAATCCCAGGGCGTTTCTCGAAAAGAGTAGGGGTGTAATTATTATTATTATTATTAATGCAGGTGAATAACTGGACTAATTGGTGGAGCAGAAGCTCGACTCTCTGGAGGCTACCATATAAACTACATATAACATGTTTTCACAGTAATTATGGACTTTTGACATTATATTTTAATTCTTTTAACCAACAACATCACAATCCTGGCCAGCTTAGTATGAGTAAGTCCTTTTGTCCTGACATATTTTAGATGGGGCCCTCTGTTTGCCTCATTCCTCCATGTTATTGTGATATCTGTAGGCTCCCTATTTTTTAATTCTGGTTTTCTCCTTTCTCTGTTTTAGTTACAACCCCTATGATGGACCCAATGAAAATCCTGAAGCAGAGCTCCCCCTTGTTGCTGGGAAATACCTCTACGTCTATGGAAATATGGATGAAGATGGGTTCTATGAAGGTCTGTTACATGAGGTGTACTTCAGCTGTGTTGTACCTGACTGTAGTTAATCCACGCCTCTCTTGTATTAAATACTTATTCCTTATTTATGTATTTTATTAATAGTAAAGAAAAGAGAAACAGCATGAAATTAAAAAGTAACACAGAGAACCAACCTAGATATTAAAAGCTAAATAATTAATCACCTGCAAAAATTAATGAACCACTAAAATTTTAATTACTAACATACTGTATTATCTCATGTTATTAAATTGCTGAACAGTAGTTTAAGGATTTGTTCATCAGGAATCGGATGCGAAAAAGTCATATAGCCCATTTAACGTTCAGCAATAACAGAATAATTAGACATCCATGCTCACATAAACCATTAATGCAAGTATGAATCCATTACTTTACATTAAACAATAAATGTGCCACATCCTGATTTTGTTTAGATTTTTAATAACACTGAATATTACACTGAGTGTTACCCAGATCCTACCATGACATAAAGGTGATTTCTAAAATGAAAAATATATACAGGTATGCCTATTAGTGAAGTAGATAAGTAACAATGGTAAGCATTATTGCTTGTCTTCAGTGAAGCCGTGTTGGGTATTTATCCTTCTGCTTGTACCACATATGAAGTTGCTTTCATTGTAGTAAAAAAACTGATGTTTACTGCTGTTATTTTAAAACCACAGATCTATGAAGTTTATATTGTGTTGCTTTTTCTCAAATTCTTGTTCTTACGGTGTTTCTCCAATAGGAGAGCTGCTGGATGGGCAAAGGGGTCTCGTTCCTTCCAACTTTGTGGACTTTGTGCAGGACGAGGAGATGCCTTCGGTCCACGCCGTGGACGGCGGTAAAGAGCAGGGTTACCTCAACCACACGGGCCAGGCGAGTAGCGGCATTCTGCCCGATTCCAAATTCGACGGCAGCTTGACTGGTGACATCACCAGCTCCTGCAGCAACGGGACAGGGACCCTGGATGTCAGCATCGACGAGATCGGCGAAGATATTGTGCCTTACCCCAGGAAAATCAACCTGATCAAGCAGTTAGCGAAGAGCGTGATAGTGGGCTGGGAGCCGCCTGTTGTGCCTCCGGGATGGGGCCCCATCAGCGGTTACAATGTCTTAGTGGACAAGGAGGTCCGCGTTAGTGTACCTTTTGGTGGCAGGACAAAATCTCTGATAGAAAAGCTGAACCTGGCTACCTGCACATATAGGATATCCATACAGAGTATCACTGAGAAGGGGCTTTCAGATGAACTGCGCTGCACCCTGCTGGTGGGGAAGGACGTGGTGGTGGCGCCTTTCTACCTCAGGGTGGACAACATCATGCAGACGTCTGCAGAGCTCTCCTGGCTGCCCAGCAACAGCAACTACAGCCACACGATCTTCCTGAACGACGTGGAGTACGATATGGTGAAGGCCGCCTGCTACAAGTACCAGTTTTTCCAATTAAAGCCCAACTTGGTTTACAAGGTGAAGGCAGTGGCTCAGCCCCACCAGATGCCTTGGCAGCTGCCCCTGGAGCAGCGCGAGAAGAGGGAGGCCTCTGTGGAGTTCTGCACACAGCCCGCAGGTCAGACCATGCTCTTTTCCTCACCGCACTGTCCTAGACAGACCCGCTGTCCTTCCATGTCGTCATGGCGACATATTTCCACGTAAAACAAACAATTGTAAAATGTAAAGAACTGTGATGAAATTTATAAATGTATTTTCATACTTTCTCAAATACTGGATATTGGTGTAGCATTGTGCTTGTAGAAAAACATAGCAGGTAATTTAATCTAATTATTGATAGTTCAACTGTAATTATCTGTACTTTATATTACTTGACACACTAAGGGTATCTAGAGAAGACCCATGATCAGTTGAACCTAGGATTATTCTCAACAGGGGAAAGTAAACCTGGAAGTTTCTTATCATTTTAATCAGGTTTTTTGGTTTCTGGATCTTACACTTATCCTTTTTTGTGCTGCGGTAGTGCACTGTGTCAATCTCAGGTGCCCTGCTACACAAAAGATCAGAAAGACAAGTGATAAAATTGCTTCACCAACTGAAAGGTGCAGCCTTAAGAAGGTCATTCTGTTGGAGACCAAACTGAAATTCAGCCAGGACACATGGATATCGCCCCTACTCTTTCAAACAGTGCCAAAGGATCTTTAATATCTGAGCAGTGAGAACCTCAGGTTAACATTTCAGCTGAGGGACAATGTATTCTACAAAGTTTCCCCATAAAATAAAACCAACAAATTAGTTAACTTTTTAGTATTTTACGTTTTTCTTCATTAGAGCATCCTACAGAGCTGAGATAAAAAAAATTGAGCAAGTTAAATAACCTCATATTATCTCAAACAGTTGTTGTGCCTCAATAATGAGCATCTTAAGCTGACGTTTTCTTATTCTGTCACCATAGCAGTAGAACCTGTAAGACATTTTCTGTTATTGGAAAGCTGCGGTGACACACTGATTTAAATAAACCTCAATCAAAGAACATTACCTGTACACTTAGTACTGCATACAAAAGAAGTTAATGAAGAGGTCAAAAAGATAACGTCACACATGACAGCCCTTGGATATTCCAATTTGATACTTGTAGTTTACAATATTACCTGTATTTAATTTTTTTAAGTCTTCAAGTAGTATTGTGACTCTATAATTCATTGTGACAGATACTTTGCCTGTTATTTTTTGGCAATTTATCTTATTGTACATTCTTTTATTGTCATTATTTTAATGCTGCTCTTGAACTTAAAGGGTAATAAAATTTCTTTTCTGGCTGCTGAATTAAGCAGAAAAAAACAGCATTTTCTTTTTTGCCAACAGTGTGGAGGATTGGTTTAAAGTTCTGGATTAATGACTGGATGTTTTTTTTTAATTCAAATCCCACGTAAGACATTGCTTTTGTACCATAATCTAAAATAATTTATAGCTAATAAATTCCTGACAAGAGCTACAAAATCTGTTATAGAAGAAAAGAGAAGAAACACCAGTAGACCAGTAGAACAAACATGTTGTCCTTTTTTTCCCCAAATAACTGCTGTTACTCTTATTTGTTTGGATTTATGTCCCACGAGAAAATTTGTTTCAAATGGGGTTTAACCAGTCAGGGTTTGCAAAACTAAAAGAAAGTCATTACTTGTAAGATATCATTCAGTAACATTGCTGATTTCACTTAAAATGTTCTGTGGGACATGATCAACTGCATTTAATTCTGATTCAGCAATTCTTATTTATTTTCAGTAGAAGATAGTTCTTACATATTGACTCTAATGAAGATCAGAAGAAATCACATCAGTTGAACATGTACACTTGTGCAGCACAGATAATGTGACCTTTCAGGAGTATGCACACGCTCCTTCTCCTAGGATTCAACCATTTGCAGTCAAGTGTCTCTTAAGCCATCTGTGCAAGCTGGTTTGTGTGGCCAGAGGAAGTGGTAATTTCCTGGTAATTTGCAGTTTGTCAGTGGTGAACATGAGGGTGTTCACCTTGTGATGTCAGGAAAGTTTGATAAGATAAAGATAGCATTTGAGTGCTTTTCAATTACAGGGGGGATATCCCTGCCCCTGATGGTTAACTATTAGATTACAGGATGCAGTTCATATGGGGCATATTTGTGTTAGTTTAGGAAATGGAACATTTGAGCACATTTTCTGCTCACACATACAGTAGTGAACACAGTTTCATTGTACTGATTTGAACCTCTGCACTAAATTGGAAGGGCAAATGTAAGGCACAATTGGGAGGTCTTCATCCTGGAACCTCCAGTGTGTGTGTAGTCATTCTTCCTGTCAATATTGACAAGCTTTATCTCTGCATTTTCCCTGGTTTGTGAGATTTATAATCAGTCAATTCCACTGTAGCACGTATATGAATTAATTAGCTATTAATTTACTTAATATGTTCTGTAAAGTCCCTTGATATAAGGAAATGTTACAACTAGCTCAAACTGGATAAATCAACAATTAATTTGCTTCATTTTAAAGCTTCCTGGTATGATTAAAAAGATTTTAAAACAGTATATTCAAAGCTGATTTATCCTTCGGGGGGAAACAACTAAGTAGTTCTGGTAATTAAGCTACACCATTTATATATGTTTTGCATACATTCTGTCCTTCAGTTCCCATCGTGTTGCTGTTTCCGTAACGTTAGTTTTTTACAGGACAGGCCTGTTAGCCTTGTGCCCAGCCTCCAACATGGGGGACCTGGCGCCCGATGTGGGACACAAACCCACTACCCTGAGATTATGAGTCTCATGCTCTACCAGCAGAGCTAGTAGGGGCCTATCACAATAATGCTCCAGCCAAAATCGCAACTGTCTGATCACAGCATGTCCACACTTTCTCCGTTAGAAATGTGATCTGTTGTTTTGGACCCTTTGTGTTTCCACCCACTGAATTATTTTGTATTTTATTTTACTTTCAATATGAACAAATAAGGTATTTTAAAGAACTGAGTTCATTAAGTCTTTGCCAACCTTTCAGGTGATGTTTTCTGCATTATTTTTTCTTTCTCTTTGCTTGACAATAAAAATGAAAAATGTGCTAATTTAGGCCAGGTCTACACAGGTGGCACTCAGATTTGCTAAGCTGGTTGCTGGCTGCTTCTGCAACCAATTCATTAGAAATACCGTGCAGCCTGACAGGCCAGGAAGCAGATTCTGTAGCATTAGCATGACAGGCTACTCCTGTAGAACCTGAATGATAGATCCTTTTCATTTTTCACACACCAGCTGTGACAGTGCAAGAGCTCAGAAACCACACATGGTGAAATCAGCTGAGCTATGTATTCCTGCCTGGGACTTGTCAAATGTTCTTGACTGGACATGTTCATTTTTCTAATGACAAGGTTATTAAGCTAGAAAATGAGAAATGTTGAATCACACCCTACCCCTGGATGTGTGAGTGTTTGAGGATGTGTTTGAGTGTTCTCTTGTAGTTAGTGTTTTAAAATGATTTAAATTAATAATCGGAAGACCTAGTGTTCAAGAAATGTCAGTAATAGAAATACCTTACATGTGTGGAAAGTAGTACTACTGTACTAAAAACAATTGTGTCCAGACAACTGCTGTAATTTGACAGTAATAGTTTATTTTTTCGTAGTCTACAGAAGTTTATTAGCGCCACAGAGAAAAAAAAAATAGGTTTATAAGAAATAGTATTGCATTTAAACAAGACAAGTATTGCGTTTAAACACAGTAGTTAATTTCTGAACAATGTTGCCTACCATATTAATATATTACATTATATATGCAATAATATTGTTCTGTGTAAAGTAGCGTTGACTTTGACAGCAGTGTTACACTCCTCTTTTTGGAAAAAAACGTGTATGTGTACTGTCTTTTGTATACACAAAGTAGAGCACAGTGACAGTACGCATTCCTGGGTTACAGTTGTGGCGTTTCTTTGACAAGTAGAAATGACACGGCTTTCCAAACGTATGTCCTTCTTGATGTAAAGCTGCAGAAACATGTACAGTACATCGGTTTTTGCCTACTCTTTAAACATTGAACGGCATACATTCACGATGACTTGATAGTAAGACTTCCGTCATTGTCAGCCAGGGAACCAAATGTGTCCCATAGTGGACTTGGAAACAGTGAATGTTATAAGGTAGAAAGAGGAATAGAACATCTGAAAAAACTGTAGACCAATTATTCCCAGTCCAAAACCATGTGTTTAAGTAATCTCCAATGGCAGTGTCTTAACATTTTCAGGCAAATATCCCTTTGCAAAACCTCAAACACACAGTATCTACAGAAGAATCAGAAGATTGACACTATTACAAATACTGCAGGAAGTGTTACACATGTCCCTATGGATTTCTTTAAAATAATTCAGTTTCAATTAGTGAAACAAAGATTGAGATTATTTTTTAAAACAAATCAACAGTGTATCCTGTAATTTTATTTTTAGAAACTTTTCCTGGTAACCCAGCCTATAGTCCTTCTTTCTTCAGTTAGGTTTTCTTACTTTGTTTACAAGCAACTCAGCACTTACAGTATTCTAACAAAGAATTCCATTATTTCTTTCAAATTAGGGTGGTTTTTCAACACTGAAAGATTGATTTTTTCATAATGTGCGACTAAAGTCATTTGAGGTGTAATTACCATTGCTAAACCTTTACTTTCATTATTACTTAACAGCAATTAAAACAACAGGAATCATGTTAAGCTCAGTGATGAGTGTGCTGGATGTGAACTGAACCCAGCAGCTGTATTGATTGAAAGTATTTCACTCTTGGGCAGCTCTCACTGTCAGAGGTAGTGAGCCTTGCCACTAGGCATGGTCACCTTGAGCTCTTTATTAATTTTTTTTCTTCTCATTTTTGTCTTTTTATAGTATTCCCATTTCACTGCATGTGTCTTTTGGTGCTCATGAAGAAATGCCAATAGTCATTGATAAAATAATTTTCCTCGCTTTTCTTAACGACACTGGTGGTGGCTCAATGCCAAAAGTCTTGGCAACTCTCACGCTGTCACCAGCTTTAACAGCACTGTCAGCTGATTGCGGCTTTGATTCAGCTTCCTTGGCCTTTCGGATTTAATAGTAGGTTCTGCTGTTTTCAAAGCCTAAATTGACTTCAGCACATGCATTATTGAAGACACATGGTGATTGAGCTTGGGAAGCAGCTTGCCAGAAGGTATCCTACTGGACCACCCTTTAAAATCGTTTTGAATTTATTGTAAAGAACTGTTGGAGACATGCAGTGCTTGAGTATTTCTGAAAATAAGTATTCAGTGTTTAAAAAGAAATTTCCTGCCCCAGGACTAGATTCAGCTGTAGTATAAAAACCAGACTATTTTCCCACAGTACTGGGTGAGTTGTTTTGAGCCCCTCTCTGTGCTCAAATTTCTATGTTCTTAAGGAAATATCATTTGTACCATTTCTCATGAAGGCTTGGTAAATTAATTTGATGTTTCATTGCAGCAGAACAGACGCTTGTCCGGTCAGTACATGATCAATGCATCATATGGTGGCTCCACTGGGTGCATTAACTAGTTTAAAATCCATTTACTCGAGTGCCTTTTTCTCTGTAAGGGGGAATAAGATCCTTCCAAATTAATAGTGCTAAAAGGGGTGTTCTGATACACTCTTAATCCTGTCCCAAAATCGGACTCTTTGAAGATTAATCTCAAACATAGGTTTGGAATTCTGTGTTATTGGAAAAAAGGCAGCAGAGATTTCTGAATAAAAATGTTTACTATACCATAAGTCCTTTAACCTAAGTCGTTCGCAGTTTGTAGATGACACCATATTGCTTCTCAGTGGTAGAATTACCCTGATGGGCTTATTACACCATGAACAAAAAATAAAAAATAAGACTTCTGGGACTGTGAAAGCACACATCCCAAGTTGTTCTTGGACTGCTGTTACACTTTGTGAAGGGTTTACTTCCCCAATTTGGTCTCAGCTGTACTGCCAAAGAGGTTAAAGAATTGACCTTCGGGAGCTGAAAACGTTTGGTGTGAATATGCCACCTAAATGTACTAACATGGAGAAGAAACACACTCAAGCTGCATATAACTGGCATTTTTATGGAAACACATTAATTAAATATTCAGTATTCTTTTATCCCAAGGGAAAATACTACCCGAACAATCAAAACACTCAGTATTTTAAATTGAAAATAACATTATGGTGTGTGCCTCATAACTTATTGATGCAGAGCACACACGACACTTTCATTGTACTGTACATACTGTAAGTACAGTAACCTCCAAATGTATCCATAGCCCATATGAACTGTGATTAAACTTCTTTTAGACAGAAAGTGAGAGAGAGAACACCCACTATTTCTCATATAAAAATTAAAGTCTTATTTAGACTTTCACTATTATGTGTATAAGCTACATCTTTTTTATGTCAAAAACGGTTACAACCAGTCTAAATGTACGATTTTCATGTCTTCATACCCCAAAACTCAGTATCTTGTGAACCCTCCTTCTACATACATACAGGGTTATGTACACGTTCTATTAAAATAAATGATATTTTTAGAGTAATGCTATTACTCTGTACTCCTAAGAATACATTTTTCTTGCTTTTAATTTGTAAATGTTAAAGAGTCTTGATGTAAACCGGCATTTTCTTTGCGACATTGACTTAGCTGCCGCCCTTCAGGCCTGTGAACCCACTTGAAGGCTGCTGTATTGGCCACTAGGCTGTGTGCTGGTGAGCCTGACGTGTGGTGTCCCTCCAGCAGGGCCCCCTGCTGCCCCCCAGGAAGTGCAGATCGAGTGCGGGTCCGCTCCAGGGGTCATTCAGGTGAGGTGGAAGCCGCCGCCCCTCAGCCCAAACGGAACCTCCAATGGAGCTAATGTGGTCGGCTATGCTGTGTGCACAAAAGGACAGAAGGTGAGCCAGCAAGCGTCGCAACTGCTGTGTCCCTGTTTTATTTTAACAGTATTCTGAACTGTATTTTATATATATTTTAGATTTCTGCTTTTCTATTTTCAGGGTACTGTAGCCTAGGGGGTCGGGTGGGTTGTGGGCTCAGTTTTGGGTTTCACTGAGTTCAGCATGTATGGAAGATGGCTGATCAGTCCTCCCTAACTAGAAGGAAATGCAGTGAGCTTAGCAGAAACAAGCTCCTTGCTCTTTCTGTAATCCATGAGTTGTGCAGCGGATCCATTTACCCTACTGAAGTTTTTAATCCCCCCCCTTTCGTTGCAGATTGCGGAAGTCCTGTACCCCACAGCAGACTACGTGACGGTGGAGCTGACGAGAATCCAGTGTCTGGAAGCCAGGGAAGTTATTGTCAGGACGTTATCAGCACAAGGGGAGTCTCAGGACTCCCCCGTCGCCGTCATTCCACACAACCTCCTGGTGCCTCCGCCCCCTCAGCCTCACCCCGCCCCCAGGCCCAAGCCATTAGCAAGTGCCAGAGAGCCAGAAACCAAAGAGGAGCCCGGCGCGGCTCCGAGCGCGCGGCTGAGCGAGCCCTGGGAGCCGGCCCGCTCGCCCTCGCCCTCCCCCCTGCTTCACGGGCGCTCCCTGGAGCCGCCTGCCCCCCACTTCCACAGCCCCGCGCCCGCCCGCCGGTCCCCCTCTCCGCAGAGGATACTCCCGCAGCCTCAGGGAGAGCCCATCCCCAACACCGTGGCCAAGGCCATCGCCAGAGAGGCGGCCCAGAGGGTGGCCGCGGAAAGCAGCCGGGTGAGTGGCCCCCGAGTGGCCCCCGAACTCAGGAGACGAGCTGTATCGATGTGCGGTTTACAGGCACGCGTTCCTAACCTGTAACTGTGTAGCAAAGGTGTTCAGGACCCATTTAATTCAAGATTAACATCCTTAGCCAAGTTTGAGTCCAATCAAAACTTTTTAAAAGTTTCCTTTTCCTTCCTGCATGGCAGGGCTGATAGTAATTGCAGAGTTCTGTACTCTGATTGCAGTCATCACCATTACAATTAGTTGGTTTTGTCTCCCTCGCTTTTGTGGGTAATTATCATCTACATGTTTGCCGAGTGATTAGAAATATTCTGCATTAAAGTTCATGAAGGCACTGTCAGCTTTTTTTTTTCTCTCTTAACGTTTTTACCTCTGTCGTTTTCTTTTGTTAATTAAGCTGTCTCTGTGGATTGAACACAGAATTGAGAACTGGGTTGACCTTTGATTTATTGCTGGATGTGAGGTCTGCTTGTTGGCCCTGCTTTTCTGGAGTGGAGTAAATTATGATTCCCAAATCAGGAGTGGCATTAGCTGGAGTTCTCTAGTTCTCTAGGAGTGTTAAGTGCATCTGTAAAAATCATTACTGTATGTTATAGAAAAGGTCTTTACAGTCCACATTAAATCATGAAGTTTAATACATGCTATTTAGTATTGCCATAGTATGCTATCAGGAAAATTTAGTTTTTTTTCCAAAAGTATATAATATATGTAAGATATAATGATTTTTTCTGAAAAGTCTGTGTAATCTAAAAACACTTTTCTGTGGAATTAATACTGTTTATCTTCTAATTTGTAAAACAATCGGAAATCATTAGCATACATTAGCTCATTCCAAGCCTTGAGTCTTGTAATACAGAAAGGAAAAATATTCTTACGTTTTTAATGTATTTTTTTTACTGAATAAACACTTTTACTTTTTAGCTATAATGTATTCTACATTATTGTTTTTGCTTTTTATTTGACTTTAAATAGATTCACAGGAAATTCACATTATTAAGTTATTTAGTACTTTTATCTCAAGAAATAAACCTATCAAATGTGCCTTAATTGGATTATTAATACTATAAAATGCATTAGTAAAGATACAATATGATATAGAATATGTAAACCATACTTAATATATATATCTTAATATACCTTAAAAGTACAGTGAATGTTAAGCAGGACATACTGTAGCATCAGTTTTTACATCTACTGTAGGTCCATGTTAGTAAGCTGGACTTGTTTTCAATCGGTGGTATTTGGTTTTAGATGGAGAAAAGGAATATATTCAGTGAGAGGAGCAGCACCATTCATCCCCTGAACTCAGATGAAGATGAAGACGGCTACGAATCTCCACATGTGAAGAGGCGGGGGGCTTCAGTGGATGAGTTTCTGCGGGGCTCAGAGCTCGGCAAGCAGGTAAATCACTCTGTGTGCAGTACAGGCAGCAGTGCCTGTATAGCAGGGTCAGTCTTGATTATCCAGAGTCTAACTATCCTTTCCACCTTCTTGTGGCCTTTTATTATTTGTGATTTGAGCATGTACCCACAGTGTACAATATTACTTTGCAGATGCACCCCAAGCTTTGTATGTCACATTGGAAAAAAAAACTGTATAAAACATGTTTCCCGTGGCAATTTCAAGCAATATGCAGCATGCATATGATGTGATGTTTTAGGTTAATTTAATTTAGATGAATTATTACATTTTCTGAGGTCTGTGATGTGAATAAAACAAGGTTGTCAGTAAAGCAGTGGTCTCCCCCTGCTGGCTGCTCGGTTGTACTGCACAAACGAATCAAGAGCAAGATTGCGGTCTGAAATGTGCATCACGCAAGGGAAATGTGCAGAGCTGTAGACTGGCGGACTGAATGGGATTTCTCCCTTTCCATCGCCCAGCCCCTCTACAGCCACAGTGAAGACTATCAGACAGAGAGCAGCCGGGGCTCAGACTTGTCAGACATCATGGAAGAGGATGAGGAGGACCTCTATTCAGAGATGCAGCTGGAGGAAGGTGGTCGGAGACGCAACATTACCTCTCACAACACACTCAAGGTACGGGGTCTCCTGTGCACATGTACCTGCGGAAAAACCATGCTGATGGGACCAGCGCCCAAGCCCCCAACATCCACAGTGCTTCTGCCTCCTGCTTCTTCTCTGTGACTGATCCCTATCTTAGAAGCACTGCACTCCCTCTCTGACGCATGAACTGCCCCGGTGTAACTTAAGCTGAACTCCTTGATTTCCTGTCTGTTGCTTAAGCAGCCGGCTCACACCATCTCAAGCGCAGCGACTACGTGCAAGCCTTGTGAGTTAGATGCATGCACCTGAAATACTGAGCAGAAGTTACATCTTGACAAGTCGTAGTGATATTTGTTCCAATTTGATTCCATGGGCCTGCGACCAAACACTGTAGATTATGGTGTGTTCAAACATAGCCTGTAAAAAGGTCAAAATTAATTGCAAATAAAAGCTATATTATAAGTCAACCATATTTAATTAAATTTAATGAAAAATGAGTGGTAGTAAGAGCAGTAGTAGTGGTAGCAGCAGCAGTAGTAGTGATTTGTTTATCCCTCACCCAAGTGACTGACAATGGCAACAACAAAGCAGATAAAAATGTGTATTAATTTTATTTTGCTGATAAAAAATTAAGTTGTGAGCACCTTAAACTTTTCAAGAAGTAAAAAAATGTGAAATGTTAAATAACAATGCAAAGCTAGAATTAAAAAGATATAACGAATACCCATACTTCGTAAATAAAAAATCGGGAATCTCATTTAAGTAAGCTTGCTTAAATGAAATGAATTATTCACTTTTTGTTTTTGTTTGTCTCATGTTATTTCTGTTTCTGTTTTTTCTAGATGTAGATGCTTATTGTGTATAGATTGTCTCCATCAAAAATGGTATTGTACAGTGGCACTATATGACAATACATTAAAACAGAAGATTTCATTTACTTAGCATGTATTTTTTTTCTTTTTTAGAAGAACATTACAAAGTACAAAAAGTAATACATTTAAAAGTTTCTTTGTCATCTTTATAACTAAGAGAAGAGTGTGTATCATCTGGTAGCCACAAAAAGACATCTATTGTTTTAATTTCTTATATATAAGAAATATAAGCTTCTACGAGGATTTCTGTAACGACAGGATATTTAAACTCAGAAGCATGTGATTGACATTATGAAGCATTCTACTAGATAATTTACAGAATTATTCAAGCACTTAATATGATCGAGCCTTGTACATACTCTGGGCTGTATTTACAATACATGCATCCAATCGGAGTCTTATAAATCAATTTTCTTCTGTCCTGAAAAAAACACTCCTCTCTTTTTCTTTTTTGAGATTATTTTAAACACAAACGTTATCTTTGCTTAATTGCGATTTTAGTTTTTCGTCGTCTTGTCCTGAACTACAATTCATTGCTATTCATCTTGGAAGAATTATTTATATAGAATCAGACTGTCGGAATCATTGAAGACAGGTGGTCGGAGTTGATTCAGGTTACTGACTTAGTGACTTTAATAAATAATAATAAAGAGAATGTTTAGTGTGACAAGCTTTTAGATTGTTTTCAGCATTCAATTCTGAATATTGAGATAAACACGCTTCTGTTTTTATAACATGTTTGTGTTTAATTGAAAATATATTAAAATATGTCCCTGCTGAGCAAAGATCCTTTTTACAAAAAAATCATGGTTAAACCATGAAGCATTCTTATTTTTACTGCAGGTTTTGTCTCAGAGATCAGAATGCTAGCTGCTTTCAGCAGCTGACGGTCAGCTCTAATCTCAGTCTCTGTTAATTTGTTCACTTAGAACAAAATCAGGTAAGAGAAAATATAAATTAGTAAAGGAATATCATGCAAAAGGAGGACGGTAAAATAAACAATAATTAAAAGGTCTTTTTTCAAGCACCTTTCTTGGAAACAAATTGAAAATGGTTAGAAGCCAATACAGTATATAATACTGTCTGCACCATGTATTAGTGCTCTGCTGCTCATATACCAGTAACTCTAGTTTCACTCACTCATATACAGTAGAATGTGCTTGGTCTGTGTTTTATTGTTCTTATCGTTTAAGCTTTTTTACTGTTGTCACTGTATGTATTCATTTCCATGAGGATTTATAATTTGGCAGTTTTCTGTCTTATTTTGCTGAGCATTTTGGCCCTTTCAAAATCTGTGTCTCCTTCCAAATCCCCTTGAAACCACATCTTATTATTTCTATTTTTCCCCTCACAGATTCCCGGTCAAAGCATGCCATTTCCGTCATGGAATGAAACTGCATGCATTACGTTTTGCCATTGCCTCTAATAACTAATTCTGTCTTTATTTTGTCTTTTTCCCATTTTATTTTTTATCACACACTGTGTTGTGTCCTGCCCGTTCTAACACCTCCAAATCCAAATTAAAAAAATAAAAATAAAATAAAATTTTAAAATCAAAACACAACAACAACAACAACAAAAAATAAAATAAAGGCTTCTTGTAAGCGTAACAATATCAGCGAAGAAGACTGGGACCTCCTCTGGGAATCATCACCCCAAAAGCAGCTCTGCAATAAAAAACTTTTCAGTATTCCAGAGGTGGCAGAAGAGGACTTTGACACAGGGGAAATGACCCAAAGATTGAGGCTGGATGAAGGCCAAGGTGTGTTTCATGGGACCCCAAATGAGCTTAAGTCCACCATGCAGGGAAGATGCAGAACATCCACCAAAGTCTACTACCAGGATATTAGGAAGCAGTATTTCCTGTCTCCCAGCAAACGCAGTATCCTTCTGAAACAGCGCTCAGGACGAAGCATGGAGGACTGCCCTGTGTTAGAAGACCGAGGCTGCAGCAGGCTGAGTAGACAGGTGACCAGAAGCCCTGATAGTGGTTTGGACTGTGGTAGTGAGGAAGAAGAGGCTCGTTCCCTGACTTACAGGAACCATTGCCACACGAGCCCACTGAGAGCATCACCGGGGCCTAATGTAAATTCTAACTGTGATGTGGGTCCAGAAAGCAGAGTACCGACGCAGTCCACAGGCCGTAAGAGAACCCTGACCAGGCAGAGCATTGTTGAAGAAGACTTCTGTGACATTCCCTCGTCAACTGCAAAGACAGTGCACATAGCAGATTTTAAATCAAGGGATCTCAAATGCAGACCTAACAAGGATGTGACAAAAAAACCTAGTACAAACGTAGTCTTGAATGAAAGGAGACATGACACCTGCAGGACCGATGCCAAAATTTGTCAGAAAGACTTTAAGGCAGCAAGTACAGTTGCAAACCTGGTCAACAGGGAAATGGAAGAAACTCTGGTGTGTGAACTAGAAGCTCATCTGCTTTACATTAGCATCCCGAATCAGTAAAATTTCATTCTTTTTCTAGTTCTTGGTGTCTTTCTGTGGGATCTCTTTTTTCATTTATTTGTTTTTGCTCAATATTTTGGACTTTTTTTCCTGCTGTGCATTGCATCGTGCCAATTTATTTCTGCTTCATTAGTGCATAGTTGTTCTTTTTCATAGAAAGTGCAGTGATTTATGCTTTTTTGTACTTCAAGAAAAAAACTTTTTTTTCTTTTTCTGGTTACCTAAAGGCCATTTAAAAAGAGTTTGTTTCTTGTTTCTGTGCCAAAAATGTTTTTTCAATTGAGCTTCAAGACAGTGGTCCAACCATAATTGTTTCTCAATCATGTAATGTTTAAAAGACAGCTTGAATTCCTGATCCTTATATTTTCTGTAGATTTGCTCTAACACTTTCCGCTACCAAGTGGAAAAATAGCATCACAAAACTTTTACAACATGCAAGTGTTTGAACTGTGAGCTTTCAGTGGTATTTTACCTGGTTGGAAAACATTCTTATAGGAACATCTTCCTATAATGTTTTTATTTTGTAAACAATATGTATCTTCTTGGGATTTCCCTGTTAACTCCTTTCAAGTCTTACTGGAACCTTTGTCTAATTGAGAGATATTACAAAAATTACATTCTTCTAAAAAACTATTGTATTTCTGAATATATCTCCTCTTAAAGCTCATAGTGTGGCATTCTGCTGCTAAATAGGAGGCCATCTGGTGGTATAAATGTTAGGTTTTTTTTCCTGTATTGAATTATTATTGAGCAGATTACTGGATTCAAGATTCACTGATTCTTAATATAAATAATTGAAAAATCCTTCACATTGCGTTTTATTAAGTGAGTAACTTAGCAGTCATTATAACAACTCTTAAAGAACAAACCATGAAATATACTGTATTGTAGCTCCATTTTAGTGTGTTTAGTCCGTCTTAGCATATGGAATGTGAGTTCATTATTCATTGTTTGAAAGGAAAACCCACTTAGAAATCAAAATACCAAAATAGTCTTTAAAGGATTAAGTCAAGTGTCATTCATAATGCTCAGTTTTTCATTTATCTCTTACAAAAACAAAAATCAAACCGCTGGATGTTTTTCTGTCAGTGTTAACGAAGTGACCTCTTCTCTTCGATCATTCTGTTTCTATGAGAAAAAAAATGTTTTTCTTCAAAGTCAGACTTCTTCTTCCATTCCGTGTTGAATTGTGTGCTTTTTACAGGAGTTATTTCTTTCCCATGATGCCATTCAGAAATAGACTTCCATGCAGAAGCCATTATGGTTGTGCCCATAGCTTCTGGATACAAAATACCCACCCTGCTTTTCATCTTGTTTTCCATTTCAAAAGACATGCAGAACAAAAAACAAGAGTAATGGTCTTTAGCTAAACATTTAATTTCAAACAAATATGATTTATGTTGCCCTTAAGGTTTGTTCTGTTTGTTTTGCTTCTTTAAGAAATTACTTTAAAGAAAAGATTGTTTTTTTTATGTTTTTTGTCGGAGAGTCCCTGGTTCACATGAAGCCGTGATGCTGATTTTATTCTTTTGTTTTAAGATTTTAGGGAACCCTTCCTCCACAGGACGATCTGACAGGCTGGATCACTCAGGTCGAAGACTGTCTCATGGATGTGGAGCCCAACAACGTCCCCGACCAATGATGGTTCCCTCTATTGGTTAGTGTGTTCACTTCATAAAGGAACACAAGCTACTGTGTTTTCACCATGAGCCAACATTTAATCCATAGAACATGATTTAAGATTCCATAAACTTACAGTCTTACCACCACTCTTGCTGAACAAACCAACCAAAAGATCATGTTACATACATTGTCTGCAAAATATTTGGTAGATTCAGTGACTAACTAAGAATTTCATTTGTTGATTTGAAGAATTTTTAATAAGCACATTCAAACACTGAGAGAAAAAGTCAGAAAAAAGTACACTTTCAGTTGTAATAGATGCATTTCATACATTCAGACATTAATTGAAATGCTTTCTCTTCTTGACTTTCTCATTTCTCTGGAAGGAGTGAAACCATTGCTGTTTTACAACTGACCCCTTATTTACGTCTAACATCAGACAAGTACAGTGTACCCCAAGGAAGCCAAAATCTAAAAAATACAACCTAATATAAAAAGCTGAAAAGGCCTTTTTTATTTAATTTTTTTCCCAAAGCAGCCAGTTTACCGAGACTTCTAAAGGAAAGTCATACCTCCCCATCACAATCTGAATGTAATGCTTTCATTGGTGTCTTCTGTAGAGATCACCATGGACAGTAACAGTGAAGGGGGCCGTTCCAGGTCAGGGAGTGAGGGGAATCTCTCACCTCTCAAGGAGGATGTTTACTATCGCAGTGTAGCTGGACGCAAGAAATGGCCTTTACAGCGCAGTATGGCCTCTCAGCATCGATATGGTATGTGTGCAGCTCATGTGCAAAAACCAACAACAACACACTGATCGGATAAAAAAAACGTCATTCGATACGCACTTTAAGAGAGATGAACCTGAATTGACCGGCCACAAAAAGGTTGTTTTTTTCTGGGGTGGGGAGCTAATGTACTGTAGGTACCTGGGTCTTTTTGTTACGGCACTCCTGAATAACACAGGTATTGAAATTAGTGTTTACAGTCTAAATTAGTGTTGGGGTGCCAGGCGAGGCAAGTAGATGCTTATTTCAGGTAACCTCTAGGAGTCTGCAATTGCCATCATCCTCGATCCCCAGAAACCCCAATTACCCCCCCCCTTCTAATTTTAATTTTGCATGTCAGTTCTTTTATAAGGGAACATGAACAGATAAAATCGTTAATTTTTGGTAACCTAAAAATATAAATGTACTAACCATAAAGAGTTGCATACTTGGGACGGTACCTTATCATCCGAATAAATGTTCATACCGCTCTCAGGATGTTAAATACTCAAAATAATCTTGACCTTGATTTACTTTTCTTCTGTGTCACCTTTATTCTGAAACAGAATATGAAATCTGAACAGAGAATCTGACATACTGTAAATGGCATTACTACAGAATGATTATAGTCCATGCTCCCACATACTATACAGTACATAACCGGAAAGTGTCGATTTTCTTAGACTTCAGGCTCCATATTCCTTGTAGTCAAGGACTGGAATATTTAATCTATTACCTTTTAAATTTGTAGTTTGAGTCAGATTTTCTCTGAATGCCAAACATGTTTAACAGCATGTTTATATATTGACTGCATGATTTATTTTTAACAGACCTTGAATGCTTTGCTAGTAATTCACCAGAAGGGAGTTCTGCGCCAGAGCTGTTGGTCTAGTTCCTTCCTTTGAGTTAAACGTCTTCCTTTTAGCTAAATATATGTATTTTTTGTAATGAAAGCATGGAGTTATAGTTTCCTTTTGGAGTCTTACTTCTTTGTACATTTATATAGAGAGTATTTGAGGGAAGAAACATAGCTAAAATAAATCCAGTGCATGCAGCCAGTGTCGTTCAATAGTGCTGTAAAACAGCAATGTATGTTTGTTCTTGTGTTCTCATCCTCCTCCTCCTCCCATGCATGCTACCTGGGATTTCTTTCATCAGTTTACATCAGTTATACGTTCTCCCTGGTATTTTCTACATGCAACAGTTACAGTATGCGAGCTGCATTGAAAATTCCAGTTACAACGTGCATCTGTGAAGCTGTGGCAGTCATCTGTATCTGCATCAAGATGAATACGACGAGTATGAGTAAAAACAAGACCGTTTTACGCTTCAGCGTCTTTTTTTATTGTAGATAACAACCATGGCAGGCAACAAAAGTAAGAGTTTGATTAGTTAACATCTGCTTTCTCGCCAATTCCCAGCTGATTCTTATTTTCTCTGTTGTTTAGTAACGATCTTTCTCCTCAGGCTAACAAGGCACAGTGGTGACACACGTGGGCAGGATCACTGCTCGAGCTCTTGCTGTTCCGAGGTACGAGGAGGTGTTCTTTATATTTTAGATGGCTACGACAGGAGGGAGCAGCCCTCTCCCGAGTACTATGAAGACTCAGAGCCTGAGGACATGTCTCGGATCTTTGTCGCCCTGTTTGACTACGATCCACTGTCCATGTCCCCTAATCCTGATGCCGCAGATGAAGAGCTTCCTTTCAAAGAAGGACAGATAATTAAGGTGGAGTAGGACGCTCTCATTTCATTCACAAATCTGTGAAATTATGGTATAGCTCTATTCTTTCTTCTTAGACTTGTAAGTCCTTTTAAAAAGGAAACACATACTGTATATGTAGTTCTGAGCTATCTTAGGTACTATACTGCAAGAATTCACCATATCACCCTAGCATGGATTGCTCGATATTCTTACTTTTACTCGATATTTTCTTCCTTAACACCTTTAGAAATCTTTTTGTGGCATTCTTTATAGTTAATCTTATCAACTGTGTACCTTTTCTCTTTCTACAGTTTTCTTGCTTTTTCTCATTCTCTTTTTTGTATTATCCTTCTAGGTATATGGAGATAAGGACACAGATGGATTCTACCGAGGAGAAATCTGTGGACGATCGGGGCTTATTCCTTGCAACATGGTCTCAGAGATCCAGACAGATGATGAGGAAATGATGGAACAACTTATCAAGCAAGGATTCCTCCCCCTTAACACACCTGTAGAAAAAATAGGTACTGGCATAATCATTATCTCTTGCTTCGATACAAAAACGTAATTCACAATTGAGTATCATTCCAAGACAGTAGTCTCCATGCCAATTCAGTGCATTAAAAGCTGGTGCATCGCATTGATGCAATTAATTATCTATATCACAACACAACAAAATGCAGATTGATTTTTTTATCTTCTTGATCTTGTTTGTTGTTTTGAAGCTCATGTATTTATGATTCCTGTAACACCTGAAAACTTTCTTTCACTTTAAGCCAACAAATGAGTGTTCAAACTTTCAGTTTTTGTTATGAGCAGCAACAGCCTTTGGATTTTCAGATATTAATTAATTGATGTACTGATGTATCATTTAAGAATAAGTAACTCTTCCTAAAGTTTCTTCTGACTAATCATACCAGCATCTGTATCTGAAGTAACAAAACTATATAGAGGGTCTCTCAGGTCCCATATCAGTTTTTATCTGAAAGGCTGTCTATGTGTTTTCTGGTCATTTACAAACACGGATCCTTAGTACAGTACATGCATACTAATTTGATGTGCCATTTTTGCAGATTGCCTGATAAGAGATTGATATGAAATTACTTGTTGCTTTTCATATTTTGAATAATTTTGCTGTGCCAACATTTTCTGTCTTTCTGAGTGAAAAGATACAGATCCTATCAGGTTTAAATAAATCAGAACTGCTATTTAATAAGATATATAACTTACTCTTGTACTGTTTTATAGTGTGTAGGTTGTATGAATGTACTGCATATGTGTATTATATATACAAAGACCAAATGAATTATTTAATTTACTTTTATGTTCTCATTAAAATAACCTCCAAATGCTTACATATTATTACTACATTATTTATGAAGAAATGTCATTATTATAGAAAAGGTCACACAACTATGAAATAAGGGCATGAAAAAACATTAAGATATTAAGGTTCAGTTTCAAAAATAAAAGTTCAACTTAAATCTGATTCATTTATATTTAAAACAATCTTTAAACAACAGCAACAGGATCTTTGTGCTTTTCACAGTAGACATCATGATTTAATTGTGGGAAATGTATCATATGGAAACCAGGCTTTTTCAAAATGCAAGGGGTTACAACAAATTGATGTATTAGGAGCTTGATATAAAAACTCACTATAAATCATGATCTTGAGAATCATGGGATCTTCTATGTGCAACATGTGTAAATCTTGACTTGCCCTTTGATCACTCACAACATGTAGAAAATACAACAAGTTAACAAGTTGGCTTTAATATATTATGAAAAACATCTAAATAAGCAGAACATATGTTAGCAATATATTCTCTGGTTTTCATGAAATGGCTATTACAGTCTAGACCATTGTGATTTCTGGTCAGTCCTGAGCAGTTACAGTAGGTTCTTCCTTCGGCCTCTTCACTCTTTTTCTTCTTCTGTTTGTTTGCATGCCTCTCCTGTGCAGTGAACTGTGATCGTTTCAAAGACGGCGCGCGTTCAGTTAACCGCAGGTCCCGAAAGTCCAAACGAGGTCTGTTTTTCTTCCAAACTGACTTTCATTCAGTTGTTTTGTTTCTTCTTTTTTTCTCCCAAGCTTATACGCTTTGGGCTGGGCAAGAGCTTACAGTATGTTGTAAGAGTGCAAACTGATTAACACATCTGTCTCCTTGAATGTAAGACTGCAGTGTCAGTTATGACTAGCAAAATACTTTGCTTCGGATCTGGTGAGTTGCAAAATATTGTAAGAAATAGTATTGGAATTATAAGGCTTAGCTTCAGTATTTTTCATTAACGGGGTAATATAGGTCTCCATTTTTGTATGGCAGAAAGGAAAACAACTTAATGGACATTGTGTTTGTCATTGTCAGAATAGACAGTGGAATCTACTTCAGGAGGCAGGAAAGTAGACAGTATTACATGGACGCAGTCGTCCTCTAGAGAAATATGTCCATAAAAAAAACTCAGCTCTAGGAAAACAGAACTAGATTCATCTGCAGACTTTTCCTTCTTTGCTCTAAGCCATGCTGCCCTGGCCTCAGTCTTTTCCCCTCGGCAGTGGAATGTGCAAAGCCAGATGAAATGTGTAGAAAAGGGAAGGGATCGCGAGGAAGAGCCGAAGCAGGGCTGAAGGAGCCGGCTCTCACTGTCTGTCCCTCTGTTCATGGCTGCACAGAGAGGAACAGGCGCAGCGGCCGGCAGCACTCCGTGCCCACCAGGAGAATGGTCGCCCTGTATGACTACGACCCCCGAGAGAGCTCCCCAAACGTTGATGTGGAGGTACTGATCAGCTCTCCCTTTCTTCTCAGTTTGAGCCTCTCACCAGACAGCTGAGCCAGGGAGCACTGGAGGAAGGAGAATAAACTTGTTTCTGCTTACCACATGATATGCTGTCAACTGGCAGTTTATGTGAGGTTGTGCAATTTACAAGTGTACAATTTTTTTGGTTCAGTAAATTGACTTTACATATCTCCTCTGTGTTGTATTTAGGTATGTCATCACCTACTCCGTGAAACAATTAGGCTTATAATGTGAGGTGAAGGTGGACCTGTACATAATATTAATAATAGAAAGTGGCTAATTGTAATGTGTTTCTAATGGCAATGGTAATGTGAGCTGAGAGGAACAAGAGGTAGTTAAGGCAAAGACACAAAATGGGAAGGGGAATGAAGTTTGGAATGGTTAAGAATGAAATATGCACTGGAATACGTAGTTTGAAAGTCAGCCAAAAGACTAAAACTATGTCTCTTTAAGATTTGCTGAGGCTTTTTTGATAAGTTAAAATCAAAATTGAACTTTCAACATCCTTCTTGCACAAATGGATTGCCTGTAGTAACTACTAGGGGTTATCTTTGGAATGAAAAACAAGATGGAATGTAATTTTAATCCATATTAGTTAATGGCAATTTGTGTATAGCATTTAGACCTATTATTCTTTGGATTCATTTCTTATTCTTAGGCCAAAACATTTGGTCATAGAATTCCAGTTATGACTAACTGAATAAATGAGTGAATGTTTGATGGAGAATGAGGAATCTTTAAACATTTTAATACGAATGCTGAGGTAGCTGTTTCACTTTCCTATCTGTACAATGTACCTTCCATCGTAACCTTTTCTTATTTGAAGAAATAATAATTAACCCGGAGGACACTGCTAGGTGGTAATGATTTCAACATCGATAAAATCTGATTGTTTGGTGTTTAGCAAGTACACAGACTTAAATGGCTTTGTACATCAGTGTTGCAATAGGTTATTATATTTACTGCTTTGAGTTTCTTGTTTTAACACACATATGAATAATCACTCCAAATAATGGTCTATACTGTAGGTGGGAAAAGGAATGTGTGTTAAATGTGGAATAATCTTGTTTTCAGAGGAAGATTAGATTGAAGTACAAATCATGCATGCTTTGAAGTAAAATAAAACTCAAGCTGTTGTTTGTAAAGTGAAGATTTTCCCTCTAGATTGCTTTCTCTTCTTATTGTATTTGTGTAACTTTGTTACATTGTGTCCAAAGCAACCATTGAGTCTTAGGTCTGTTAAGTGCAGGAAACCTGTCATACTGTAAAAGCATAAACAGCCGTGATGATTTAGAAGTTTTTTTTTTCTAAATTTATGACCATGAAACAAAATAAATTACCTTCTTCTAATTTAAGGAAATAATCTTTAGAGCACTTCCGTTCACAGTGAAAGATTGCTGTGTATGACATACGGAGTAAAGAAAAGAGTGTTGATATCAATTGCTGTAAACCTCCTGCCAAAATTGGAACCATTAGAAGAATAATTCACAATTTGTACATATATAGGCTGTAGTTTGCTTGCTATTCCCCCTTACGCTACAATTTCACTTACTTTCACTTTCACATTGGGGCTGCTGCAGACACAGGCAGACAGAGAGAGAGAATGTGGGGGAGAGAGACTGACACTGGAGGTGAGTTACATGAGATTAAAAAACATTTTTGTTTTCTGTCGTGATCAACGAAAGCTCGAACACAGGGACGTCTGTGTGAGAAGAATGGATTCGTTTCCTGACTCTCTGTCCGTGTGATGAGAATGCCCAGTCAGTAGGCGGGTGCCTCAGCGTTGTTTGGCTGTCTTTATTTGGACTTGTTTTTGTTCTTTTATGATGCAGTCTGAAAGGTTCTAGAGCTGGTGCTATGGAGGAGAGAAATTCACAAAATCTTTTAATTGCTTGATGAATAAAATGCACTAGACATATTTGGGAGCATAGCAAGTAGAGTACTTTCACAAAATGAAACTACTTACCATTGCAATGGGATTTTATTTACAATTTTTCTTCAAAAACATTTACTGGACAAGAAGCATCATAAACAGACCCTTATTTTTGTTTTCAATTTCTGACTGATATCAGAAACCCCTGCCTGAAACACTTGTCTGAGATCCTTTTTTTTCCCCCGTAACAGGCTGAGCTAACATTCTGTGCGGGAGACATCATTACAGTTTTTGGAGAAATCGATGAAGATGGATTTTATTATGTAAGTAGCCTCGGTGCCTGAAGCTTTACGATGACTTCTAAAACTGGGAGCAAGTGTTACGATAATCAAGATGTTACTGAAGACATATCAATTTCACAGTTAAATATTTTATGGTGCTTTTATATGAGTCATGGCAGAAGCTTTATTTTATTCTAATTTGCCCTACAGTTAAAACCTCTTATCAATGAAAGAATTGAAATGTAGAATAGGACCTTACAGGGATAGTTCTAAAGCTTCTCTGCCCTACTGCCACAATTGTTGTGGGTTTAATACACATACAGTATTGACAGGGAAATACTTTAAACACTGTTTTTTTCCCATGGTCTGTCTGCTTTGTAATTAACTGATAAAAAGAATAAGAACAAAATTAAAATGTTGAAACCGCTGAGTTAAAAACTGTTGAAGTGATCAGGTTACAAAAATCCCACATGAACAGCAGATTTGTTGTTTGCTGTTCAATCATTGCCTTTTCTCTTTGAATGAATGACGAATCAGGGATATGAATCCAGTAGTGAGGACGTGACAACCTGAGCTGAAAGCCACAGCGAAATAAAGAGTTCACATGTGTAAGACAAGTTTTGTTAATTATTTTGGCAGGGTGAAATAAATGGACATAAAGGTCTCGTTCCTTCAAACTTTCTTGAAGAAGTGCCTGATGATGTAGAAGTCTATCTTACCGATACACCATCCCGATATGCACAAGACACCCCAGTGCGGACAAAGACCAAAAGGGTATAGCTTCTTTCACAAAACTTTTCTTCCAGTCATTGGCCTCTGTTATGTGACAGCAGAAAAAGTCGATGATTAATTCTAGTCCCGGAAAGCTATAATCCAGTTTCTATGTGACAATTAAGCCATGAATTTCTAAGTAGTTGGAATAATTTTATTTTGATCACTGAAGTGGGTGACTTGTTCAGTTACATTTACTGAACACACTGGTTATTTGAATTGAATTCTGGGGTATTCCAAGTCAAATAAATGGTTTAAGGGTGACTTAAGAGAGTTGCTGGACTTTGGCTCTCTGGTACCAGGGCTGGCCTCCCCTGTAGTACACTGTAGACTAAATCCTTTAAAAAGACACAACTTACACAGACTTTCATAAAGCATTTCCTATCCCATTTTGGTTTTTTGCAAATGAAATAAACCCTAATGTTCACAAAGAAAAAGATAATTTTTCTTTTGGGACTTGAAAAAGATGTGAGCCAGAGTGCTTTCAAGTGGCTCAAATGATAAAGGTGCTTGTTTGAACTGAACGTTGAGCCTTGCGTTCAAGATACTGCTTGGTCCAAGACCTGGCTTTGGCATTTGCTGAATCGGCAATAATAAAGCTGGACAGCTCAGGCTCGACATGGCATTCTTGTCTGCCCCCTGTGTTTTCTTTGATTTCCATGGGCTTCCAGTGCTGCAGATCTGAGTCATCCTTGTAATCAATATGGGACTGGCTAGCAGTATTAGGAAAACACAGGTGGTAGAAAACGTTTTATGAAAGCCCTAGTTACTGTGCCTCCAATAAGAAATAATATCAAGCTTCGTTATTTGCCTGAGGTGACACTCGATGACAACGTTTAGCTTTGAGAAGTACAAGATTTTTAAAGGGATTTAAAGGATGTTTTTCTCTTAGGCTTTGTAGCTAAAGTGCTTACATTTACAATCCAATGATATTTCAGCTAGTAGTAATACATTAAGTTTAACATGCATGCAAAAAAAAGTAAAATAAGCAGCAATGTGAATGTTACTAGAAGGGTTCATCATAGGTTTTTTTCATATTCATTATGTGGATTAATTAAAATGCCATCACTGCATTCTTTTTCTTTTCTCACCTGCTTGGCAACAGAAGAAGAGTGTTCATTTCACACCTTAAAGGCACTGTAGCCATCACGTAAGTGGACAACTGAAGATACCAAGATCTAATCCTTCCCAGGTCTAATGCAGATGATATGGGTGTATTTAGGTGTTGGTATGCAAAAAAGGCAGCAGCTGTATAGTTTCTAATGGTATTTTTAAAGTACTTTGATATTATTTTTCCTCTAAATTCTAACCCATGAATTAAACCCTGAATTACAGTAAATCCACATTTATTTAGAAGACTTGTAAATTGTTTCCATGCTGGAAAATTCTTTCAGGATTTTTCATTCTTTCGGAATTAAGGCTAGTAGTGTCCAAGCAAAACAGTGCGCAGTCAAAACGATGCTTAGACACTAGGAATTAGAACATTATCCTTAGAAAAACCTGAAATACGTGTACTTGAGGAAACAGCCCAGCAAATGCATTAGACAAGTATGGTATCTTCCGTTGTTTCTCTGGGTGTTGTACATTAAAATGTTTGTCTTTCATTATAAGTATCCCTGCTGTTAATCATGGTAAGCTAAAAGGCCATTTGCACATCAAGATTGCCTCTTTCGTTTGCAGTTTATTACACTGTCTAATATTCTATTAAGATCTTCCCTTCCTCTGAAGCAGTGCACCCTGCCATACTTAAGTGAACAATGCAATAAGAGCCTACGCATCTGTTTCCCTGCATTTTCACTTCTACAAGAGTCAGTCCAACAAAGGCTGTATTACATGCACATGGACTAAATTACAGTATTTTTCCAATCTGATTTTATAACACTGGTGAGCTGATCTATGTTACAGTTCCTTCAAGATGCCTAACCTAGCAATGTACCAATTAAGTGAGTAGGGTGCACTTTTTCTCTGTTGCCTAAGGAATGAAAAGCAATGACAAAAGTGCTACTAACAAGTATTTTGTCTCATAGAATGACCATCATGACCAGATTTCAAAAGTCCATCATTATATTAACATGAGAAACTAAGACCTTTTATTTTATTGATTATTACAGTGCTTGCAGCCAGATTTGTAAATAAAAACTTTTTTAAAGCAGGATGAATTGGTTCCAACAACCTTGATGAAGTATCCTTGGTGAAAAGTGATATATTGCATCAAAACTGGTAAATTATCTCCTCTCTTCATATGGTAGATTTTTAATTATGCTAGTAGGCACCGCCACCTCTCAGTTTTAACTGAGACTTTTCAGTTGGACATTACATTAACTAACACCTGCCTTCTCATGTTAATGCTTTATTTCTAGATAGCATTAATTACGAAGTGCAATTGAGAAGGAGCCTTTTAGCTCATGATTACAATAAAGGAATATTTAGATAGTGGATGTTTCACTGTAATATTTTTATATCTGCCACCTTATTTGTAAGGTAAAATACACAATTTAGGGAACTTTAATAAAGTTTTTTTAATAAAGTGCAATCTAAACGGATTCTGTATTAGAATTCACATTTCTAACCTTGTTTTCAATAAGAAAACTGAAGCAATTTTAGCAAGCATTGCTTATACTTTTTGTTAAAGTGAACTCTTTGAAGGTGTCATTATGCATCTACATAGTTTGGCTATCAAGATAATGAATCCAAGTATTCCATGTTCAATAACTAGAAATAACTCCAATCCTATTTCTGCCATGCAATCTATTACAAAGCTTAAGGTATTAAGACATCATGCAGATCCACCCAGCGAAATTTGGTATACAAAATAGGTTCTTCAATAAATCAGGAAATAACCTTCAATCAAACTAATAGTTTTTAAGGCCTGTTATCAATCACCTGCTAATGAATGGGAACAAACTGCAAAGCCTTTGGATAAAAAAATCTCCAGGATAGCCTTGTAATGTATCAGGTGTAATATTTTAAGAATGTATACCTCTTGCAGAATGAAGACCTCAGTACAGCACAGTCAATAATGGCAATTGCACCTCTGTTTCTGATTTGGAAATGTATTAGAACCAGATTACTCAGGGTCCTGAAAGCAGGTGGGGTTGTGGTTGGGAAGGTGTAATAAAACATCTAAGAGTTTTGCACAATAAGAAGCACTGAGCTTCAAATAGGAAAACAAAAACAGGTTACAAGCAGTATTGCCTCTTCATACTGGATGATTGGAGGAAATGGGGAACATTGAACTGAAAAAAAAGCTGCATTTGTGCTCTTCTAAATTTTTCCACCCCTGAACTGTACTTTACGGATCTCCCACTAGGTTCCCTCAGAAAACACTGGTTCCTCTAGAAGAGCCCCTTCCCCTACTGTGCGCCAACACCACCAAGGCTCTGGACCCGATCCTATGGGCCCTGGCAGTCCTGTCAGGGGCAGAGACTTGTCCTCCAAAAAGAAAAAGGGACTGCTCTCCAAAGGGAAGAAACTGTTAAAAAGGCTTGGAGCCGTTAAATAATATATTTTTTGGGAAAATATGTACACAACCATATATATATACAAAACGATACATTTCTTCGGATCTTGTCATTTAAATTTGGTGTCAAAACTAGGGTTTTCATGACTACTGGCAACTAGGCAAGTGCTGTGTAATACTTTTTTAACCAGCTTGTTCTGGTTTACTTTAAATTTCAATCCAGGGATTTTACAGCTGATGACAGAAGGTGTCCCACTCCTTATGCAATTTCTACAGAAGAATGTGTTTATGAGGCTGGGTCACAAAGCCCAAAACCACTTCCAATTCCATGACTCAAACGCGATGGTAAATTTTTTTCTTAGTGGACAGAAAGATGTTTGCTCTGATAGTTGCGGAAGAGAAATAAAAGAGTTGAAAATGCTGATGCATAAAATAGTATTACACTTTGGTGTTCCCGTTTTAACCCAGCATAGGGTTTGACATAGCGACCTGTTCTCTGCTTTGTCTATCCAAACTTGTTTGCAGCAATTTTTTTAAATGGTGGTCTTAAGTCCTATTCTTTGAAACTAATAAAATCCAGTGGCTCATATTTTGCCAAGAACAGAACAATGTATTATCCACTAAATGTTCGTGTTACACAGGTTTTTAGATTTCTTAATGCTCCATCAACCTCCAGAACACATTCAAAAGAAAAACAATCACAACTAGTTAATCAGTATTTAATGGTCATGAAATGCCTAGTTGAAACCAGCCTCGATGTATTTGCCTTATAAATGCACAATGGTTTGTATTTTTGTCCAGTAAATTAAGCAAGAATAGTTTTTCAGTACTGTGTACATTCATGTGTGTGCATTCCTTCACTAAAAATGTTGTTGAAGTTATGTGATCAAGTGATGTGCTGCTACCAACATTTCCATGTGTAATTTTAAGAATAATTTTAAACCTGCCCGATTTAAAAAAAAATTGTCACATTTTGCAAACATTTTTTCCTCCAATACTATCAGTATTCTAAAATCAGGCACTAGCAATTGTGGGTCCCTTCCACAAGCCCATCTCATTCAGATCTAAATCTATATAATGTATACTAATAAGAAGAAAAAACCCTACCCCTTTGCTGTCATTTGACTCAAACAAGAATATAGATTAATACAATAAAACAAGCTTCCCTTAAAATTCTGATAGCTACAGTATAGTCATCAGGGTTAATCGATCCAAACTGTTGTTTTTGCACATAAGTGTGGCAGGGCACCATTCTTCCAGATAAGATGTAACGAACTTATGTTCCTATTCCTATTTCTTGCTCAAAAATCAGTTTTGGCATCGATTTATATATAAAAAAAAAGAGATTTGATCAGAGACTGCCAAAAAAAGAAGGAATGTATTGAATTCAACATGCATAACCGCCAAAACAAATATAACAAAACAATGTAAATTACTAATTAAACCATAATCCAGTGCTCTGACATTGCTTCTACACATTGTTTGAGTGACTGTTGCTCTTTTTGTACTTTGTCCATTTGTAAATTGTTTTTAAATGTTTATACTTGATTTTCAGACTGCCTTTTTTTGTAAATTAAAATTTATAATCAAACAGTGCAAGCTTTCCCCATTGTGTCTTCAACAAAGTCCGCAACTGTGTGCTAGCTTTATGGATCTGTAAGAAAAATCATTGGCCTATTTGTGGTTATCAGCTGTGAGTGTGCATGTGTACATGTGTAAAAAAATTTTTTTATCAGAATAAATTTGATATTTTGTAGAATGGGTGGCTTGTGCTGTTTCAGATTAAAAAGAAATCACTGAGAAATAATGCTAAACCTAAATACAGTCAATACAAGAAAAACAATTCCTGCACATTGTTCACTTTTCAAATGATGAAGCACAGTAATAAAACGCGACTCGTCAGATTCAAATTGTACACGTACCAAGTGGCATGACTGTTTCATCAGCTTCACTACGCAGAACTGGAATCAAGCTTTCCTACTGACGGAGAAAGCAGCACAGATTTAGTGAAAACCGACTCGGATAAAACTCAGAAATTGATGTTAAATGGTCCAAATTCACAGAAATCGCACTAGTGTGGTGTTTGCCAGTCCTGTTAACCAGTCTCTTCCGATTTTAGTTAAAAAAAAAAGAAACCTGTCAAAAGATTATCAACTCCTCTCGTTTAGGATTTTAAATGACAAGGTGACGAGTCTGTGCATCTAGAAATGATTGTTAAGAAAGACTTTCATTCACACGGATTGTTGCAAATGTTTCATGCTAAATTTCCCAACATGGTCCAATGATTTTAGATCTAAAACCATTATAAATGAGGTTTTAAGGCTCTCGATGTACCCAAGTAGTGACTCAACAGGAATGAAAATCAGGAGAAAAATGTAGCCTCCTTGCAATCCTGGCCCGAGATCCCCAGGGACTCTGGAGGCTTTCATTCCCACCTGGCTCACACGCTAAAAGAGACTTGCACAGACCATTAAAGGAAACTTGCAGACAGAGTAGCCCTCTGGGACCAGAACTAGGCAGCTCTAAACTAACAAAATTCACTTATTTCCCAAACTCATAATAGCATGGGAGAAAAACTGTGAACCACTATATCAACTGTATTCACATATATTCCTGAACACTAAACCTTCAGTCTTTTTTACCCAAAAGGTCTTGAAGACAGCCCGTTATACTTGATTAATTGCAATTCTTCCATACCAATGCAGCTTCACACCATGCGTCACAATTACAGTAATATGCAGGATTTTAAGAGGAAAACTTTGTGTACCTAAAACAATGCATTAATACTTGTCACTAACAACACCTCTACAGAAATCTCTACTTGGAATTAGCCGGTGATCAAAGGACTGCATCCCTAAAACTTGTAGTTTAAATCAACAGGCTTTAAGTGCAAGAAAAATGTATTTTATTTCAGGGATTCAATCAGCATTTAAACAAGAGAACAGATTTATTTGCAACTAAGAAATATTAACTGATTTACTACATAATCTCTCAATAAGGGGCAAAAATAACATGAGAAAGAAACCAGAAGTTTTAAGTTTTGAAAAATCAAACTGGACATATTTCTTTTTAGAGTGCTGCTAACTCATCTGGTCGTAACGTTCTCAGCTTACTTGAAAACTAAACGTTACAATATTGTATTCAACAAACTCCCAACACTGTCTTGTTGTCTGAGCGTGGCGTCACAGAACTTTAAAAATTAATACGAATTGCTCCCATTTCATTAACACTAGTAACTTATGCCACCTGTGTGGTTCCCAAGTGGCTTAGTCCATCTAGAAGTCACAAGGCTGATCCCGGCTCATCAGTCCACCCAGGTTAGGGCTGGGGTTAGTTAAGCTTTCTGGCAAAATGGCAACTCCTGTGGCCACAGGGACCTGTCTGCAAGCTTGCAGTGACATGTTAGACACGCAGCCTCTCTGACTGGTGCAAATGCTCCTGTGAGGCTCTGTGTCACTTGCAGTTCTCCAAGCAGTTCTGCATCTGGCTGTCAAAGTAACATCTCCTGTAGCCTATTTTCTCCAGAACTGCTGCTGGGTAAGCAAGTCATAAACTCCGCCGCATGCAAACGAAACCAAAACCTGCTGTTTGTCATATACTAGAACTCAACTTTCATTCTGTAAGGACAGTATTAATATTTGAAGTTTTACAAGTGTTCAAATGTTTAACTTGCAAAGAGAAACTTTTAAAGAAAAAAAAAAATCAGGTTTCATACACACCTGCTTAAAATCTACAGCATTTCAGTTGGTAAATTGTAAATCTCTCCCAATTTTTTTAGTTTAAATCTGGTCTAACATGCAAGTCACCCAAAACATTTGTCACACATTCTCTTCCGTTTACTAAAAAATGATTTTACTTAACTTACTAAGGAAGTACCCTTTTAAGGTGCCATCTTTGGAAACATTGTCTCAAAACCCAATGAAGTAATACAATTGTTTTGGACCTCTTGAAATATCTTTAGGATAGACCTAGGGATATGTCAACAACAACAAAACAAAAAACAGCAGGGAAATCTTTAACAAATGTTTTTTTGTTAAAGATAATAAAGAAAATCATCTAGGTTCCTGTTGGGTTCCCTGTGAATGCTCTGACCAACCAAGAAAGCCAGTTTATGGGCATACTGGCAGGGGGCAGGCACTCTGATGATCCCCTGAAACAAAACAAACAGAATTAATAATATTGTATCAAGCCTGGTCTATGGCAAGATCAGAGGCCTGAAGGAGCAGATCTTGGATCAAGGGCTGGACTACGCTTAATTCCTTAGCAGCAACAGTGCTCATATACCTTTTATGACAATTCAATAACTTTCTCAAGTATCAATTTTGACAATTTTCAAGGATGCAATTCATAGTTTGAGGCAGTTTCTGTGTAACAAACTTATCAAAGATTAATAATGACAATCAAAATTATGTTAAATGAGATCTGGAATGGACTGGTAAAGGTTCTAAACCCGATTCACTTGTTTTCTTGAAATCATGAATGGTTTACTCTATGAAACTGTTATGGATAAATGTGCGTCATATGACTGATTTTTTAAAAAGCATAGAAAATGATTTCTAGATCAATCCACATGTTAATCTGTTGCTCACTGAAATCTAAATTGCTTTAACCTTAATGTAATAATGGCATATCAACGAATTTCAAATTTCCATGTTATGCAGAATTATGCTTAACTCCATGCAGTAGCAGTCACATTCCATACAAACAAAAAAATATCTTCTTTAACTTTGGAGAACAAAAGACCTTGCAACATGAACCTAAAAGATGACTTTCAAATGAAGAGAAAATTGTCAAACTCTATAATCACATGCTCTTAAATAATACACCTAATGAATGATTTTTCAAGGCAGGGCACAGTGCAGGATACACCCTGAACAAGATGCCAGTCTCTCACAGATTATGAATATATTACCTGCCAATTGTAGTACAAGTGGCACAGTTTGTACGTCAGACGCTGCATGTAATCGGGTTTCAAGCCACTGTTGTCATATATCACATTGTAATGAGTTGGTGAGACACTGCCGACACGCACAGCTTGACTCACGATGTAAAAATCATACCTGCAGGAAAGAAACATGGTCACTGCACTCCACTATAGAGGTCAATGTATCCGGATTCAGTAATTATCAGCTAATATGAAAGTTTACTGTTATTCAGTAGTTCTCGATACAAATTTCTGTAAACATTACAATGGAATTAGTTGTGACGTATTCAAGACGTAGTCAAATCTAGTATTTGTTATTAGTAAATGTTAATATTGATTTAACATTGAAATTAGGGACAACTGCATGCTATCTGCAAAGAAACAATGGAAAACCGTATTTTGTTCCTGACCAAACAAAAATCCTTATAATCACCATTCAGGTCGGGTAACATCAGTATCAATGATAGTTCCAGGGGGTGGATTAGACAACTTTCCATCAATCCATGCAAAGAACCTTGTGCTGATGCGCTTCTTCACAATGATGACCGTGACCTTGGGACTGCAAAATAGAAATTCATTTCATTGGAACAACGTCGATGTTCGCCCTTCATAAAACCAGTTCAGACAACATGAACAATGTTATTGGTAGTCATGCAAGAGTGGTCAGGAGGAAGGGGAAGGGTAGGGTAAGGTTTAGCAGGAAAGACCTTTTTCAGAGATGCTTTTTTGTACTGGGGATTGTGATGATAAATCAAAAGACATATGGTTAGTCTGGAAATATGTCAGGTCTTGTATATAGCTAATGTATAATTAAGCTTCCTTAAAATTTTCCTTACCATATACAATTAAGATTTTAGTAAATCTACCCTAACAGAAAAGTGAACCATTTAGAAGAAAAAATATCAAGCAATACAACTGCACCTAGAAAAAGTAAAAAATTGCTAAATCCCTACTCAGGCCGTGATAGGTTATCGTGACAAAAGAACTACAGTTTGAAATTATCACCTCACCTGTAGTCCTTTCCAAGAGCTTTGATGCAGTCCAGAATCTGCTGCAGTTCATAACTGACTACACTCTGCAGCTGTCCATCACCAACTCCATCTCTGTAGATAATTATACGCTGTGGTAAACCGTTGTTGTAGTTCATCCAGGTCTTGAGAGCAGCTGGAAAAATGTTTATGTATGAACAGCATTGATATATTATGAAAAGACTTTGAAATCTGTTCATGATTCTATAATACTGTTTCACTCCTTGAAAGACAAAAAAAAAAGATCTATATTCTAGATCCAAACATCTATTTTTGCTGCAGAGTAAACTCACATTGCAAAGGTACTTTCAGCCCATCGATGATTTCCTGGCCTCGACTCTGCAGCACACATTTAGAATACCATCTGTAGAAGTAATCAAGTATTTAAAAATTGGGAGAAAAAAAAATCTTACATCAGGACAAAAGTCAGTTTCAAATCGAAACTACAAAGTAAAATTAAAAAGTATAGTTTCAAAACATTTTGCTCAATGAATAAAGACGATAAAATGCAGATGAGAACTGTTAAAACCCTGCCTTGTCATTCCTGCGTTGAGGCTGGCCACCAGTCCTCCCACAGATCTCCTTCCTGCCGATATATCATGGTAACAATCGATTCCCACGATCATAAGCTGTCTTAGCTGTTAAAAGTGGACAACTGTGTCAGGCCAATATCAATCCAGAAAACACTGAGAACACTGGGAGTCCAGAACAAGATAAACGTGTCATTGAAGCCCAAATCATCACTTTTCAAGAAACAGCTGGGTAAGATCTTCAGATGAATCAGCAATTAAGATTCCAAACAAGCTAGATAGGTCAAACGAGCATTATTTGCAGACTGTATTCTTGTAACCACTTACTGGGATGTCAACACTCCACAGTTCCCCTCCCATTTTGCAGTTCATCTGAAGGGCTATTTTGGTGGCGATGGTCATAAGGGCTTGAGGCTTGCTCAGAGTCCGTGCCAGAACACACTGGCTGGGTGTGGGGCAGTCAACACACAGGAACTTCTTCACACAATCGTACTTGTCTTTACGGTTAGTTGGAAGAATGCACACCACCTATTTGCAAAAAAGTAAGGCAATTTAGATTCAAATCAGTTACCTACCAAGAGAGAAAATCTGAACAGACATAATAGGATAGAAGGACAGAAACTGGTTACTTTTTAAATTGCAATAGTTCTTGCATTGGCAATGTATAACAGATGTATTTTACCGATTTAACTTTATGTGGGGGAAATTTGTTTGGATTGTATTTTAAAACGGAAACACTAAGAAAGCTATGTACTCTAGTCTCAAAAAATGCAAAAAAAACAAACAACAACCACATACCATCTGAGTATTTGGACCAACATTCTGTTGTAAGGCTCTCAACAGAGAATCCTGACGATCTTCAACCTCTATCCTGCAATAAAAGTTTATACTCTTTTCATAGAAAAATCTGTAACTTATAAAAACAGCCCAACCCCACCACAATGATGTCTAGAACTTACATGCATGCCCGCTGTACTCGGATACCTAGCGGCTGACACACTTTGTGCAGAGTCTGAAGCAATGAATGGGCACATTCTATGTTCCTACGTGTGTACAGTAGTATCCAATTGTCCAGTGGTCTGCAACTAATCAGAGGAACACCCCTCATCTCCTTTGTCCAATCTGCAGCCCATGGGTTGTATTCATACTGGCAGAAAAAGAAAAAAATGTGGTATTATTTGGGGACAGATGTTACATTAACAGCTGTGTGAATACTACAATTTTCTATGCATTACACATTGGAAAAAGTAATTAGAATTGTATGAATTGTAACTGCACTCTTAAATTAACAATATTTTTTAATTGCCCTTGGTTGCAAGAATGCTACTTACAGATCTTGCACCTTGAGTTATCTTTTCCGGAGGAAGAACTCTCGACTGGATACTTAGAAGCTTGTTGTCAAAGTCAAGGCCCCAGCTTCTCAACTCTGTCTGTGTATCAGGACCACTGTAGAAAAGCAAACATACACCTGTTGGCCAACAACGTTTTATGGGCTGAAGAAATTCAAGTAGGTAGCTGCATCAGCATGTGTAGGCTGAAAAGGGACAAGTAAAGGTTTATTCTATGCTAAAAAGAGATTTTTTTTCAGGGGACATGGTCACGAGAATGGAATACATAAGCACTGTAAATTACAAAAAATTCTGTAAAATACTGCCAAATATCAAGGCTGGGGAAATTTAATTAAAAGTAAGCAAGAAGAGGTCATTCAATCCAAATAGTTCATTAGGATAGTAGCAGCTAGGGTACTGGCACTGTACATATCCAATGCAAAATGATTAAATGTCAAGCTAATTTTTGCATTTTTTCTCTTAGCCAATAGAAATTGTAGTGTGCACTTGGCATCACTGACTTTTCCCACACACATTGATGCAGAGGGGATAAAGTGGTGTATACAGCTGCCAGGGACAGATTTAAGTATTGCCCTCTTCTCTATCAGATGAAGACCTCCAGCTTTAATCAGGCTGAGGCACTTTGTCAAAGTACTTCCTTGACAAGCAGATGTATACTTTCTTAAATTAATACTTCACACTTACCTTTCACTCTTCAACATTTTACATTATCTCTGTGACACTTCATTTTTTGCTGTTCTTTTTTGCGGTTGTAATACTAAAACAATAACCACCCGATACTTAGGGTGCGTATATGGGCTACAGAGGTTTAACTGGAAAACGAAAACAAGCCTGTGGATGACGCCGATGAATCTTGTCAGACGATTCTCCCTCTGATCTGGGGTTAGTCTTGTGTGTGAAGACAGGTCTCTCATGATGTTGAAGTCACTGCGCATCCTATCTGTCAGACCTTGTTTAGAACAAGAATAGCTGTGATTCAAAGACCAATGTACTTGAATTTTCTGTTTTTTTTTTTACAGAGGAAAAACTGATGGCAAAACACTTTCATTCTTTTGGTTATCTATACATCACACAAGTTGCACTTTAAGCTCCAACAACAAATGAACAACCTAGTGATGGAGTTTAGAGGCATTACCAAGGTACAACATTTTTGCTGTATGTACTACCTTCCCTGGATAAAAGATCAAGAGCTGGTGAATTGCTTCAAATTAACCATGGATTTTATTTATCCAAATGACTTCAATAATATTTATACCTGTGAGATAACAGAATTCTGGAACAAGCATTGCTGGACCAGGAGGAGGGGCACCTGCAGGTCCCAGTCTCTTAATATTACTGATCAGAAGCACTTGGTTACCGTCCGAAATTTCCAGATTATATTGCTGTTAAACAAACAAAACATTAGTTTTTCAAGTGTCAGTTTCCTGAAACTACATAATCACAATTCACACTTTGCATCCGTTTCAGAAACATACATTTTTGTAGTAGTCCTTGAAGGAAATTTCAGAATCCCCTCTCTTGAAGGTATTGTTAGGTGTGTGATCCCAAGCAATGTCATCAATCCTGTATGTTTTGTTGTTGTACCTAAACAGCAATAAGACACAAGGGACAAGCTTTATAGTCCACATCCTTCTATTAGGACGTTTTTATGATTGACTAAATTCATAATGAAAGACCATAGACGTTTAACCCAAGCTGATACAGATATCTTAATAGATTCCAGCATTTTAATACCTGGTGAGAACGATCAATCCCACAAGCTCCTTAGTGCAGGCCTCAGGAAACCGCTGGTCCCCGACCTGCTGTCTCAGCTGAGACATGAAACTCAGAACAGTCTCACTGCGAAGGACTTTGTGGCTAACATCAGTGCAGAGCATTATGCCGGATTCATACTGCAAAATTGATGTTGTAAATCCAGGCCAAATCATAAGCCTACAGCAAAAAAAATACACAGTCAGATTTAATGTTTAATACAACATAGATTTCCTTATACAACAATATATACTTGAACAGCAAGTTGGAAGACTTGAATGTCTAAAAGCGATACAAAACAAAATGAATATGGTTCCACTAAGGATCAGCAGTTCAAACACAAAACAATTAAGGGGTGGGGGATATTCTGCCTCTGTCTTATGAAAATGTAATCTTTTTTAGTTTGATTTCAGTAGAATTCCAGGTGACCGTTTAAAATTTAAACTTAGTATATGTACTTTTAACATTTATTAATTGACTAAAAACACAATCATGCCAGTTTAAAATACTTACAACCTAGTCTATGCACACATAATAATAAATTGACTCATAAGAAAAATCTTGAAAGTGGCAGAACTCAAAAAACATTTTTTTCATCTTTAATAAACTGTAGGTTACAAGCCGCTTTATAGGGATTAGGGGAAATAAACTATTTGATGTTATTTTTACTTGAGTCTTGATATAACCCTTCTGCTGAGATTGGGAAACAAAGATAGAAAAACTAAACTGAACCTTTACAAGAAATGCACATTTGCACAACTAGGCAAAATTAAAGCAATAAGTCTCATCTCTCAGGCACAAATAGAAACTAACAGCAATTACAAAGAAAACCCACTAGAGGCCAGTATGTGACCAAACTAAGTACACTATTAACATTTAAATGGGGAGACAAATAAAAATGAACCAATGCCACCACATTCCCCAACAATTAAGACAAACCTGTGCTGTGGAATATTCAGAGGATCATTTGGGTTGTAGTAATGGCGACCAATCTGCTGCATGTTCAAGATCCTCAAAATCCTTAAAAACAAGTTGAGAAAGATTACAACAGCTTCTATTCTGAACCTCAAAAAGTGGTCAAGCAACTCACACTTGCATGTCCTTCATACATTAGTCACGTCCAAAAAAGAGGAAACACTGCTGGAAATCCAAACTATCAGATCACACAGGTTCTACAAGACAGGGTATATAATATTTCAGTGGCTTTAAGGGTAGAAAATTCCGTATTAATACCGACCGGTACCAGGAGTGGGCTATAATTATTTATTCTTATTAAATAACTAAAGCTAACTCACCTTCTGAAAATGATATTGTAAAACTGAAGGCATGTAGGAGAAGATGGAGGAAGCTCATTTGTCAGAGTTACTGTAATCTTAATTTTCTCTCCCTGACGTGTCTCACTGAACAACACTGTCTCCTAAAACATAAACATTTAAGCGATCACTAATCTTTTTAAAACCACAATGAAATATTTATACAAGGACAAGTTTTTCTGATGCAAAACTTAAAAGTCTGCAAAAATATCTTAATGTTAATTAGTTTTTATTGCAAGTTACAGTACATTCAAAATGGATCCCGTTTTAAACGCCTTTGTAGCAACTTCTGCTTTACTGAATTTACAAGGCCTTATGCATACTTTTCAGGAAAGGTCTTAAAAAAGATAGTAGAATTTACAATATTCTAAGTGCAGATGTGTCTAGAGAAAAACATTTACTATACAACAACCCCAAGACTTTTGGTGCTAGTACCACATCACGCAGTCTACATGGCAGGAACAAAATGCTTCCATCAAAGGTTCGAGTCGGGCCAAGAGTTTCATCATGCTTAAACAGGAGAGCAGAGCGCAGGCGACGAGACTCAATTGGAGGGTTGTAGTCAATGTGGTACTGGTACAAAACCCACTGTGGTCGGGAGAGGATTCGGAAATAATTTGTCCTCAGTTCAATAGGAGATCCAGAAACGCCTGTCAAAAGAAATTGCCAGGAGGTTATGCTGCCCTTTTACTCAAGGAAAATTAATCCATCCATTTTCTAACTGCTTTATCCAGCCAGAGTCTATCCCAGCAAGCAACAGGCGCAAAGCAGGATACATCCTGGAACGAAAATCAGTTCATCACAGGGAAGACAAACACACACATTAACAGCAGGGCCAGTTTTCCCAGCAGCCAATTAACCTACCAGTATGTCTTTGGACTGTGGGAGGAAAACGGAGCACCCAATGGAAACCCACATGAACACGGGAAGGACAAACGCCACACACGTGGCACCCCAGGAACTGAACCCAGGGTCCCACCACTGCAAGGCAACAATGCTAACCACTGTGCCAACATACTGCCCAGAAAATAACTTTCCCATTACTACCCCTTTAACTCACTGATCTAGCAGCACTCCCTTCTCTTCAGAGTCCAGGCAACTTCACATTTCGTAGTGTCCATTTCTTTTGGGCAAAGCCAAGTCAGAGGACAGTGTGAAGACTGTACATTGCCTGGGATCTTTCACATAGATTAGGTCAGCTCTTCACAGATGGGTTGTTAGACCACTAACAGTAGACTGCAATACATCTCACTCGGAGCAATCTAACCAGGACAGTCACAAGCGAGGACAGTGCCAGGACATTGGTACTGTATGGCTACAATGAGAGAAGGCCATTGAGCTTGTTTGGTTGCTATTACACAAATGATCACTGAATCTTATCTTGGCATTTCTTAAAAGAAACCAACATAAGGTGGCTTAATCTTAGAAATACCACTTACTTTACTACAATTTCCAGGATTCCGAGTTGCTCTTATTCCTTACCATGGTGCTTTATAATAATTTCCTTCAGTAAACTAGATACAAGAAATCACATCTTAACATCCAATAAGCCAATTTGGACTAAGCCACCAAACAGTTTTTTACATTCCCAAATGTAAAGATTAGTAACAAATTTACATGACAAATTAGCAACATACCCATTTTCGAATCTTTCACATGTTCCATAGATTGCCTGGTGTTGACTCCACAATCCTGGAAATCTCGACGGCGCCCTCCTCTTTCACCAATCTTTATTTGGTGAAAGCCGGCAGAAATCTGAATAACTGCACCATTCGAGGGGAGGCAAGAAGAGATTCTTCACGAAACTTGAAAATACAATTAATCGAAACACTAAGCACTTTTTTACGAATTATCGGTCTGGTTTTGAACAAATCCAATCATTCAACAAAATACATCGCACAACTATTCTATAAGAATTTCACGACAGATTTAACCAACGTTAACAATGTGAGCAGCTGTTCAATAAAAACAGTACACCACTGCAATAATGAACTGGATTCAACAAACTGTTAAGATTTCTAGGAAGGCAGGGGGATGCACTGAATGACTACAACCATATTATGAATTCTACTTTAGTAAGCTTTTAATTGGGGTATCTTAAAATTTAGCAAAGTCAAGACTGAACACTAGGCATCTATATTAAGTAAAAGATGGACTTATTTAATTGTTCTTAGCTAATCCATTTTACATTTTGTGAAAGATTATGGGCAAAATTTAGAAGGGTATTAAATGAACATGTATTCAAGAACAACGAAGTTTAACCAAGAATAAAATAAAATGCTATGTTTTCTATTCTAAACCCGTGACCCCATAATCTGGATATATAGGAACATAGGAATGTAATTTTAATTCTGTTTGAGCTTTCAAATGCAGGATTCAAAGTCTCTCATTTGGACGTTTGTACGCATTTCCCAAAACATTCGGAAAAGCAGAAAAACAGAATCTGACTGAGGATCAAGCCGGAGTCCTGGAAGA